CAGACTTCCAAAACCCAGCCCTGCCAGAGACTCAGGTTAGGCAGGGATGGACAAAGCTGCCTCACAGAGCTGCAGTCCCCATGCAGAAGGGCCAAGGGCTCATGGCTGAGGACAGCACAGCCTCACCCATGCCAAGCAACAAAAGGAAGAGGCATCTTCAGCTGCTGTTCACCTAAACAGCTCCAGGCATCATCCCAACAGAAACCGGACACGTGGACACCAATGGGCTTTTTCCTTCAGGAGAAAAGCAGCTCTGTGAGGAATTCCTTCAGAAATGTCATCACTGTTTTAGCACAGCTCAGGGTGGAAGATGTATAAATACAAGAGCTCAGCTGGCGAGCCCTCAGTCATGTCGAGGGAAGCAGAAGGGAGCAGAGGGCCTGCAGCGATACTGCTGCCACCCAAGCTCTGCACAGACATGACCAGAGGGGTGAGAGATGGGCTTCTGCTGTTTGTAGGATAAGCCATGAGAGGCAGCACCTGAAGGGATCCAGGACACAGAATACGAAGGAGGCTGCTGCTGTGGTGCTGTTTGCAGTGTACAGGATAACGGGAGCTCTGGTGCAGCGCTGCCACACCGAGAGGCTGCTCCTGTCCCCTCTCAGAAGAGGTTGCTTGGTTGACTTGGAGCCAGAAGGGGAGTGTAGCCACAGGCCTGGGCTCTGGGGCACTGCCTTGTGTGCATCCCGGCAGGCCAGGGTGCAGTGTGGAAGCAGCAGGGTCTGAACCGCTTTTCCTTGTGCACTCAGAGCGCCAGCCCCAAAGCAGAAGGGCTGGTGGAGGAAGGGGAGAAAGAGCAGCCCCTGCAGCGGGGTCTCCATACAGCAGGGACAGGCGGTGCAAGAGCCCCAGTGGCTCCTGCCAAACTGCCCGTCCCCTCCCGCACACACCCAGCTTCTGCTCTTGCTGCTGCAACGGCCTTCAGTGCTTCGGGCACTAAACCCACCTGCAGAGCTGTTACCCTCCTGTTAGCGCACTTGTTAATGACAACAATCAGTAACGAGTCTTGATCATACCGTGTTATGGCTGCCCCATCCCTGGCAGTGCTCAAGGTTGGATGGGGCTTGGAGCACCCTGCTCTAGTGGAAGGTGTCCCTGCCCGTGGCAGGGGGTTGGAACTGGGTGAGCTTTAAGGTCCCTTCCCACCCAAACCATTCTGTGGTTCCGTGTTTTCAGGCTGCAGAAGGTCCACAGGAAGGGCAGGGGCCATCAGTTGCACAGCCCCCATTAAAACACATTATGCTGCTCCGGAAACCAGTGAGCTTTGGTCATACGTTCATTCTCCCTTTAGTGTTTTATGTAGACTGGATCCAGCAGAGTTTAAAAACAAACTCCGGCCCCTTTACTCTGACTGCTGATAACACTGGGGTTGTTTTACATCTTTTTCCCTAGTAACAAATCACAGATGACTCAAACCTGAAGCCCAGAGATCAAAAATCCATTTCCCAGGTCCTTTTGCACCTCAGCGGTGTGATGTATTTTACACCCTTGCAGTGGAGCCCGTTGCTAACACAGGCTGTGCAGACCCACAGCAGCCTGCAGGCCTTGCACAGCTCCAAGCCCCTCCGGCTGTCACAGCAGGCCTGGCCATAGAGGAAGAGGGCAGGAAGAGCAGAGCAGCCGGGCACACTGCTCCATCCAGCTGTTGTGTAAGGAGTTAATCACAGCTGAAAGCCACTGCAAACAGCGCAGAGCTCACGGTGCTGCGTCTGGTTTTAGCTGCTCTTTAATTGCCGGGATGCAGGCAAGGCCCAGGGCGCTGCGAGGCCTGGGCACCACGGCCTGTTTGGATGTGGGAATTACAGCGGCTCTGGGGCCTCCAGAGAGGAGGAAGGAAGCTAGGACACACAGGGCAGAGCCGGTCTCCTCCTCGCTGGAGCTGGCCCCAGCGGGCTGGCACAGCAGAGCAAGCCCCGCTCCCGCAGCACTGTAGCTGTGTCTGTGGGCAGGCCGGCACGGCTGCACTTCACCCCCTTCACCCCACAGCGACCCCGGTCCAGCTGCTGCCACAGTCATGCTGAGGAGCAAAGGCAACGGTGACAGCTGGTTATAAACTCACCTCCAGGTTCCTCACCTTTGTTTCCTTCTGCTTTTCACTGCAGAGCCAGGGCCAGCAGCCGTAACCCCGAAGAACAAGTCCTGTACCTGCACAGTCCCACAGAAACAGGCACCCGGCAGCAGAGCGGGATGAACCAGGTAAGGGAACGCCGATAAAGCAAGGAGAGGTCCCTGACTATGCTTTATCCCACAGGAACCCTGCTGCCAGCAAGGGGCTGTCAGAGGGCGGCTGTGCTGGAATGGGGAGGGCAGGGGGATCACGTACAGCTGGCACAGGTCGGACACTTCATGCTGCTGGGGTGATGTGTAAATAGGGCAAACAGATGCTGCACTGAGCTTATGTGATCACAGGCAGTGGCACAATTCCTCCGCTACCATGATCCCAACTGACAGTAATTTAGATTCCATTTGTTGCTAGTTATGGATAAACCAGTCCTCTGCATGGATTTTGTGTTGCGCTTACGGACTCCAATGCAGCCTTAAATCAGTTATTGCAAAAGCTCCTTGTACCTTGTCAGTCAGCTCAGTTTACTTGTACGATTACCTGCGTTTCTAAGAGCACAGTGAATGTGCTGAAGACAGAGCTCCCAGCACGGATCATCAGGGGACTCTTGGTCAATTCTTTCCATTGCAAGCCTGACTGGATACACCTTACAGTTAATGTTCCTTTCTATTCCAAGAAGTATCTTTATCCCTTAAGATAAGGAGTCATAGGATGAGGCCTTGCTGAAGGCTTTCATTGGAGGTTATCAAAAATACATTCCCCAACTGTATGACCAATCCTTACCGATTCTGTCCTGTGAGATCTGATCTTCCTCTTTAAAACAAACACAACCCACACCCAAACCATTCAGTGTGTCATCTTCCATTTACTGGATATGGAAGCAATAAACAGTGATGGTTACAGGCATGTAGTCCATTTCTACTAAGAAAGCATCTCCCCTGACCCTTCACTTGGAGGCAGATCTTCAGGCTTGTTCCCACAAAGACAAAGGCTGTGTGGTACCACTTCACTAGAGGATACAGGTACAAAGGATTAACCTAACACGTTGAGGCTGGGCAACTGGAAAGTGATTTTACACAGGCTTAATCTTCAGCTGTTGGGGTTATTTTTATACCACCGGCTTCCTGCTTAAGATGCACTTTGGTGAAAATAAAGCCCCTTCAGTAGTTCCTCTGTATTTAACAAGTCAAAATCCCTTTTACCACCAGTAGTGTTTCCTGTGTGCTGCTCAAGGCTAAAGGAAGAAATCTCCAAGTTGTCCCATAACTCGAACCAAACCCCACAGGTCTGCATGGCCCAAACTCCTCAGAACACACACATGTGTGCATCACCTGCTCAGGTCCAACATCCCATGTCATCAATGTCATTGCTGCTCCCTCTCCCTACCTGGAATAAACTTCCCAAGCCAGTTTCTAGTTGACCGCGATTGGTTTATTTTAGTTGTACACTTTGTCCCTCACATACAGTTAAAGAGTCCTTTACCGTTAGATTTCTACAAAAATATCCATTTTTCAAAAGCAGAAAAAGAGGGAAAGATATATTTTAATATATAAAAGGAAAAAAAAAGCTAAATCTGACATTTCATTATATTCTTAAAAACATTCCAGTCTATTTACATATGTGTAAAAAAACAAAGAAAATCTCCAGGTCTCTTGGTCTAGTGAGAACGTGCGCCTTGCAGGGGTTTCCTTTGTTCTCCTGACAGTAAAATCTTTTCATTACTTGTCGTATTCCTGTATTATTGCCTCAAAAGACAGCATAAATAAGTTTTAAAAGGTTTGTTCCAAACCAATGGGAGCTTGAGGGAAGAGCAAAGAAAAGAAGAGAGTCAGCATTTAAATTCATAGCACAACATTAAGCTGCAGATATGAGACAGTAGAAAACAGCAGAAGCTATGAGCATTTCGAACATGTGTTGTTGACTGGTAGAACCCATCACAGGTTCTTCTTGGAACTGCACCAACTACCACCTTTTGCAGCCAAATCTGGGGTCTGTTCTTAGTTAATTTAGTCATTGCGTTCAGGGACTGAAAGTTTCTGCTGTCATCGTTACACAGTGTATCTTCATTGCAGTAGAACTCCCTACTGCATGGTGTCAAACAGTAGATACAGGCAGGGATTCTCCACTACCTTGATGATGAACAAAGCACCAAAGGACAGCACTCATTTTAGATAATGCAGAAAGGTCAGTGACAAGGACCTGGGAAGGAATCACAGCACAGTTCTGGTTGCTGTTTCACACAGAGGAGGAATGAAACCTCACCATGGGTGAAAAATAAGCAAATTCAGCCTATTGGAAACACCCAGAACTAGCTTCCCAGGTAAATGAATTGAAGCCTGATGTGGTGCTACTAAACTAATTGAGTTACTCCAGCTTCCCATTGGTTTAAAATAAGGTTAAAATTCTTTAACAATAAGCAATGTATGGCTAAATATTTACATCGTAAATTCACTTTTCTAAGGCATTCAGTGACACCTGTAAGACCCTGCTTGACTCTCATGCTCGTATGCTCTTTGCCAAATCACTAATACGGGACTTGTGTCAAATATTAAAATAGTAAATATGTAAAAGGCAATACAGAGTTACATATAATGCTTTAAAACACACAATTTAGAATAACCAGGTGAAGAATCTTTTTTATGCAGGGTCTGGAGTTAACTTTATACACATCAAGCTTGAAGGGCTTAACTCCTCTGCAGCACAATATAAAAGCATAAGGAAGTAAGGAAGCACCCAAAGTAGGTGTATCGCTCGTGGATCTAAGGTAGACACATCCAGAAGATGCAGCTTACTGAAAAGAGCGTATGGATGCCCTGCATACAAACGCTGCTCCCTAACTGTGGAAGAACACTGCTCTCAGTACGTGGAAAGATGAAATTCGTGCATTAGTGCATCACTGAAGATGGGGAATGGCAGGGGAAAAATACCAGTCGCAAAACAGGGGATAACGTCCCTATACGTAAAGCAAAACACACAACAAGCTCTGTATCACTTTCATGGCAACGTTTTTTACCTTTCTGGAGCAGTGAAGAAGCCCCTCAAAGTGCACCCGAACTCCTATTTACAAACTGGATAGGAAAAGGTTGTGTATACACTCATTAACAAATCATCTCTCCTAGGCTGAAAAGTTCATTTGTCAAGAAAACTATTGAAAACAAAAACTGTGTACAAAAATATAAATATCTTTACAGTCTGTAGGCCCTTCCCATCCAGCAGCTGAACAGTGAAGAGCATCTATAGGTTATTGAGTAAGCAGTGGCAGAGAGGAATAAAAAATACATCTTGCGATTCAATACTGCCCTATTTCCCTGGTAATGAGCATTTTTGTTGACTTTTATTTTTTGCTATACACAGCTTGTGCAAATGCAGTGAGAAACCTCTGAGTACCTTTCCTGAATTTATAAAGGAATGGAAGGTTTGGAAAGATATACACATATTTTCATATATACATTCACATATACACCTCGCTGATTTATGCTGGGCTATTACAGCACAGAAAGCGTCCTATATTTTCATGAAGCAACACTTCCTATGATCATTCCTAGACACCTTTTGAAGAACAGAGGAAAGAAAACAAGAACTGGGAAAGCACTCATGCTACTTCAGCAGTGCCTTTAAGGATGCAGCAATTAGGGTGCCCAAGTTTCTTTCTACTCTCTGTAATTTTTCCTTCCAGATGCCTTAAGCATCTAGGGAGGGAGCATCCATCTAGGGGCAGGAGGCCAAAGTGAGGGTGTGGGGGTTTTTTGTAGTTTTATTAGAGTCCTACTTTTAATTACACTGGGAAATATCCTTTCCTTCCCCATGTAGTGAGAGTTGTTTATGAAAATCTTCTGTGCATAAGCTCCTAAAATGAGTCTCTGCCAGAGAACTAGCTAGCACCATGGAACAAAAACTATACGCTTCAACCTCTCAGACTTCCCTTCCGCTGCTCCAGGTAACAGGTCTGAGAGTAACCGCAATCTCATTTCTGCACATTCATCATATTCTGCAAACACTAACACCAGCAAATGTGAACAATCCCATTTCTGCATAGATCAACTGACTGGTACAAAACCAAGTAATCCAGATTTTATCCCCCACAGGACAGCTACCTCCATACTTGCGGGGGGAGAAAACTTTAACTCAGTCCTTTAACAAACTATTTAGTGAAGGACCCAATTCTGGAAGGATACCATGTGCCCAGCAATGGTTATAAATCATCTTTGCTTTGTGTGAAGGAGAAAGAGAACACGCAGAACACAACAGTGAGGTAACAATATGCCAACATGCTTTAAGTTTCATAGCACTTAGTTCTCAGTTTGGGGCCTGCCCTCAGGTGAGCAGAGTGCTGATGCCAGGCAGAAAACAAAGTGTTGCAAACGCGGGAGGCTGCCGAACTCCAACCCTGGATCATGTTGCTCCACATCTCCATTCCAGTCTCTGACAAAAAAAATACGCATTTATTTGCCGGCTGAATTTGGAGGCAAGGTCCCAGCAGTATTCAGTTTCATAACCACAGGAGCTAATGCGGGCATCACTCTGTTATCCTGTCCTTCTTGAACAGCTGCAGGTAATGAAGATTTTACCCCACTGGGTGCCAGTTTTGCAACCACAGGCGCCAACAAGGGCATCACTTTATTACTCTGCCCTTCTGAGTCCACTGGCAGACTTGCCACTTTTAAACCAAGTGGTGCCAACTTGGGCATGGGCCTCCACAAAGCGTCAGCATTGCCAGCTTCTGGATTAGTTTTCATCTGCAAAACTGGTGGAGTCGCATTAGCGGTCTCCACCAAGGCTGTTACAGTTTTGTCATTCCCACCACTGGTTACGGCCAGATTGGGAAGTGGATCCTTCATTTCAGCACCTATTACTATCTTTAAAACATCTGCTTCAGTTGAAGGCTCCCCAGAGTTCTTGTCCCCATCAGTGAGGTCATCGTCTTCCAGGTGCAGGAGGAGAGGGCTTATAGAGCCACCACCCTCTGGAACTTCAGCAAGGTCCTTAAAACTGCCTCCCAAATGGCCAAACTGGAAGGAAGACCCACCTGCAGTGGTGAGCTGACCAGATGTTCCTCGACGGGCTTCTGCATCTTCATGAGAGAAGTCTGAGTTCAGAGTGCTGGGTAGTTCTGACATTGCTGAAGCATCGTCGTTCAGCTGCTGGTTGAGAAAGGCAATCTCATTGAGCAGCGACGTGAGGGTTTCATCTGTGTCATCGCTCTCCTCAATGCTGCTCAGTAACTCACTTGCATCCAGTTCTGCTTCCTCCATTGCAGACGCTACTTTCCTCAATTCCATTTCTATTCTGGAATCTTTGATCTGCAGCTTGCGGAATGGCAATTCTTTAGGTTTTAACCTTTCCCCTCCAGGATCACCGTCTTTCCTCCTCACTTGGCTCCCTACAAACTCGCCAAGGCAAAGCTTTTTGCTGAAGGACTCAGGAGGTTCCTTTGTACATGATACATTTCGGAGCTGGGGAAAGCCATCTTTATTTTCCAAGAAAACTTTCGTGGGACCTGTGGTATTTCTTCCATCTCCGCCACTGTCACCAGGACACAGTTTAGCTTTTTCTTCAGAAAGGATGCTGTCACTCTTCCTACTTTCCACAGATGCTACAACCGATTTCTCTGAAGCCTGAGCATCCACAGCTGCTGTTGTATTAAAGTTGTTGTTGCTGTTCAGGTTTAGACCCATGCTTACCTCAGCAGCCAGTGATGTTACATTAACGATCTTTGGCATCATGAATGAATCTTCACTTTCTGCAAAGCCAAACAAAGGAGCATCCATCAGGAGCCACATTAACTGCAAGATCATAGAATCATTAGGGTTGAAAAGGACCTTAAGATCATCCAGTTCCAACCCCTCTGCCATGGGCAGGGACACCTCACACTAAACCATGTCACCCAAGGCTCTGTCCAACCTGGCCAATCCACCAACAGGGATAGAGCATTCACAACTTCCTTGGGCAACCTATTCCAGTGCCTCACCATCCTAACAGGAAAGAACTTCCTCCTTAATCTAAACTTCCCTTGTTTAAGTTTTAACCCGTTACCCCTTGTCCTATCACTACAGTCCCTAATGAAGAGTCCCTTCCCAGCATCCCTATAGCCCCCCTTCAGATACTGGAAGGCTGCTAGGAGGTCTCGACGCAGCCTTCTCTTGTTCAGGCTCAACAGCCCCAACTTTCTTAGCCTGTCTTCACACGGGAGGTGCTCCAGTCCCCTGATCATCCTCGTGGCCTCCTCTGGACTTGTTCCAACAGCTCCATGTCCTTTTTATGTTGAGGACACCAGAACTGCACACAATACTCCAGGTGAGGTCTCACAAGAGCAGAGTAGAGGGGCAGGATCACCTCCTTCAACCTGCTGGTCACGCTACTTTTGATGCAGCCCAGGATACAGTTGGCTTTCTGGACTGCAAGCGCACACTGAAGCTGGCTCATGTTCATTTTCTCATTGACCAGCACCCCCAAGTCCTTCTCTGCAGGGCTGCTCTGAATCTCTTCTCTGCCCAACCTGGAGCTGTGCCTGGGATTGCTCCAACCCAGGTGTAGGACCTTGTACTTGGCATGGTTAAACTTCATGAGGTTGGCATCAGCCCACCTCACAAGCACGTCAAGGTCCCTCTGGATGGCATTCCTTCCCTCCAGCGTATCAACTGAACCACACAGCTTGGTGTCATCAGCAAACTTGTTGAGGGTGCACTCAATCCCACTGTCCATGTCACTGATAAAGATGCTGAACAAGATCAGTCCCAACACGGATCCCTGAGGGACACCACTCGTTACGGGTCTCCAGCCGGACATTGAGATAACGCCCAAGTATTAATTGCTCACTTTCAGATCTTCCTAAAGCAAGCTGCTATTTGCAATTTAAACTGCTTACACAGTTTTGGTCAAGCAAAGCCTTAAAACACTAAGAGCTCTAACTTTCAACTGGCAGAACAAGAGCAAGCTCTGCTGCTTACCCCATGTACAGCACTCAGCCCTAAGAAACATCTCTCCAAGGGGCAGCAGAACTGGCTGGACATGGGAATGGGCTGTGCCAGAACAGGAGGATGGATGTAACCAAACAGCCCCCCCACCACTTGGCACCGCAGCTTCCTTACATCACAGACACAGTCCAGTCCCTACTTACTCTGATTTCACTGAGGGCAAGGAAGCTCAGGGAGGTGGAGGAAAGTCAAAAAGCTCTCATCTATAATCTCCTCGAGGCCCCTCCAATCTGCTCAAGACATTTAATAGTGATTTTCTTTGAATACCCAGACAATGATACCTACCATTACTTCCTAGTGAGAAAACAATTTACCTTCATCTTTGCATGGCTAAAGTTCCCTGCATGTGAGCAAAAAGATGCATGAAAAAGAGCCTACCTGAATGGGGCTCTGTAGCCGATATTACTGCTGAGGGCACTGGGTTTCCAGCAACAGTTGACAGTGTAATAGGAATGGTAGAGTTAGTTAGGATTCCTTTTACTTGGACAGGAACAGTTGATCCTGGTAGCTGAATCATCACAGAAGCAATACCTTATCCAAGAAAAGGGAACGGGGGTGAGGTGGAAACAAGAGCCTTTCAGATACTCAGTTAAGCCTGGAAAATAAGAGCCTTGCACTTCTAGACAAGAGTTTACACTGTAACATCCTCTGAAAGTGGTAAAAAGTAGACATACAGATTGGTTAGATGACTAAGACATCTTCCCTAGGTATCCCTAGTTTGGAAATAGTGAAAATCTAACAGATTTTACTTACCTGTTGATAACTGATAGCTTGACATAATTGCATCCAATCTCTTATGAGTCAGGTTCTACCTCAATTAACTTGTGAATAAAACCCCCCAAAATGAAAGCAAAAATCTAACCACCTGTTACTTTTTAAACTGCTGTGCACACCTAAGAACAGCATTATACTGATTTTCATCAACATGTTCTCACGTGATCGTACCTGGCTGTGCTGTCATGGCAGTAGTGACAGGTCGAGGCTTTAATTCAGCTTGCAACAGAGTGGAAGGAACGGCTGCTACCTGCCCTGGTACCAGTGGGCTCTTCAGTGTAAGCACCTGCCCCTGTGGAGTCATCACCAGGCTTGCAGCAGTTAGTGTGAGAGGGGATGAGGTGTCTTCTGAAAAAAGAGACATGTAAATCGGTCAATCCATTCTGGCACAGCACCCTCAATGGCAAATGATACCTGTGATCTGGAGTTTAGTACAGGTGTGGAAGGAACTCCAGATAGAAGGTTTACAAACCCCAGATATCCAAATTCTGATGCCAGACTTCCCCAGCACTGAACAAAAATAAGGCCTGGTAAATCAGAATGATCAGTTGTTTGTAATAGCTTGATACCACTTAAATAAGGTCTATTTATTATTACCAAAATAAGAAACACTACCAGATCCTTACAGAGCATTACAGTTGTACTACCATGGAAGTCTGTGTTTCTGCCATCCTTTTGTTCCTTCCTAGATTTATCCTAGAATGGTTTGGGTCGGAAAGGACCTTAAAGGTCATCCAGTTCCAACCCTCTACCATGGACAGGGACACCTTCCACTAGACCAGGTTGCTCCAAGCCCAACCATCCAAGCGGACCTTGAACATTCCCCATCATTCCAAAACTCAAAGTCACATTCACCTAAAGACTTCAGTAGTGCTGGTCTCATCCTTGCTGAAAACAAATGGTTTCTAACACCTACTGGATGGACACTTCCTGGTCCTGTGCTCAACTGCGCTTCAAGAATGAAGCTGCCTGCACAAGCAGCCTAGCATCCTGACCTCCCATGAGTGCTGCTTCAATATTTGTCTCTCCTTTATGTGAAACACTTTTAGCCCACCTGTGGCACGGACTCCTTTCCTGGCAAGTATCAAGGGCTTGCCTCTTCTATTTGTCATAGCCACTTCAGGAAGCTCTCTGGAGGGAGCTGAAATTTCTTCTTGCTGTGTGCTAGCAGCTGAGGTTACAGCAGATTCCTCTGGCTCAACTTGTTTCTTTTTTTGTGCTTCTACTGCTTTTTGTTTGGCATAGATGTATTCCAGCTTCTTCAGGACAACCTCTTCAGTCTTCCCTACAGGAAAATTACCAAAGAGTCAACCTAACTTCAAACTCTCTTTCCAATACTGAAGAGCTGAAGGTAGAACTAAATATCTATTGACACCATTCAGCTACTGAACATAGTAAGCACCACACCCACCAAATAAACAGCATACTTACTAACATAGGAAAGCAATTACATATTTATTCCCATTTTTTATTTCTTCAGGAACATCCACACATTTCAGAATTTATCTGCAACTTTGATGAGCAGAAACCAGCCTGGACAAGCAACAGCTCTTGCTGAGCAAGTATCACTTGAAAGTATCCACAGCTGTGAAAAAATCTCACATCTCTTCTACTGATTATTGTATGACCACCAGACAAAACATTATGTTTACTTGGTATGAAACCTCTTGGACTAATGGACCCTGCTACTCAAATGACATTTAGAGGTAAACTCACATACAGTTTACCACTAGCATGAAAACTGTAACCTTGAACGACCACAAGGATTTTATACACAATCTGTTTTCTGCAGATGCACTCAATTTAATACAATCAATGTTCAAGAGACAATACTGGCTTGTTTCCTGCTTAGTATTTATGTCCTATGTCCTGGGTTCAGCATGGTCTCTCTTCAGTTAAGTCTATAGTTAACTAACTTCTTGAGAGAGGATTTTTTTCCTCAACAGTTCTGAGGTACTTCACTAGGAATGCAAAAGAGCAGAAAACTACTTTGTGAAGTTACCTGCTTTCATTCCCTGCCCAAAAGGCCCATCATACGCTTCTGGATTAAGATGAGGGTTCATCTAAACATTTTTATTGAGTACCCCAAATATACGTAAGTTGATTCACATAGATATACAAGATTTAAGTATCTTCCATTTCTAATTTACAGGTCTTATTCCCAGGCAGTAAGAAGATTGGAAGAATAATTTATTGCTTTGCTTGTTTGCATACATTTTGGCACTGGCTTGTGTCACAGCTTTCCTACACCTTCAAATGAGACACAAAGACACAATAAATATACCACAGTTTTGTCTTGAATGAGTAGCAGCTCAGAATATACTGCAGTTCTACGGACGAAGCTGTCTTCTACTAGACACTACTAACACTAGTTCTCAGACGAGTAGTACAAGGATAGTTATTTGCACAGTAGTCAAATGTCTTGGTGCTGATCAAAGACAGCTGTGTATGTTTGTGAAGCACTGAGCAGGACGACAATGACAGAATGAAGTGATTTCCCCACACACACTTAAGCATAACCAATGCGCAGGAACCCAATCCTGTGGCTGGCGGTACAGAGATCATGCTACTTCCTTGAGGCACAAAGGAAAACAAAAGCAGTTCTTATCAGCCTGATGAGTGTATCCCTGAGTCAGAGCTTTGGTGTCAAGAGTCTAAATTTTAAGTGAACTAATGACTCACCTGGATCCACTAAGGATCCCTCCACTCACTCCTACTATTGCAAGCCTTTTTTCATTATTCCAACTACTCTATATCCAAAACCAGTCTCACCTGAAAGCTTGGATACTTTTCGAATCAAAACATCTTGTTTGCGCATCAATAAGTTCTTCTGTCCAATAAATTTATCTGCCTGATCAGTCAATCCTTGGATTTCCTCATAGGCCTAGAAAAGCGTGAGGGAACTGATATATAAACCAATGATACCCAAAATAATAGAATCATTTTCCTTCCCAGAAACCTTTACAAAATTGATTTAGACATTTTCATCATCTTGAGAAACTAGGACTCAGAGAAAGCACGCGAGGTACCATGGAATGCCAGCTTTTCCTAAATGCAAGCTCGAAAGTGATAAACATCTTGCTCATCCTTCCTCCAAAATACAGCTAAAGAAAAACAACTCACAATTTCAAGGTGCAGCTGATAAACATAATAGTATACCTACAGCTTAGATTTTGTTTCCTGTTATTTACACCTTTACAATGAAGTTTTTAATGGCAATGTAATACTTAATGAAATGCTATCTTCTTCTGCATTAAAAAGGGAGGACTTTGATGTATTGCAAAATTGCCTGATGTACACGGTAAACCACTGAGCAATTAGGACATAACCTTCCATGGTTAAATTCACAAAGACTACAAGGAGAGGGCTAATCTGAAAAAATGTGTCTGTGTCATCAGGTCAAGCTTTCAGGGATACAGATTCTTTCAGCTACTGTTTTATTCTAGAGTCCTGTAAAGTGACAGAACTTCTCTAATCACAGCATTACTGGGACTCAACTCAAGGAGTCCATATGAGCTTAATTACTCTGTCCACATTAAACTCCTCCTTACTTACGCTTAAACATACTTACCTGCTTGAGAATGTAGCATTTGGAGACCTTGGGCAGGCTGTGTAAGCCCAGAACTCTCTTCAGCTTCTCAAAGAGATCTCTCATTTCATTACGTCGCCGGCGTTCATTTGCTGTGTGCGTCTGGCGGTAATGAGCAAAGGCTTCTGCCACCGTCTTCAGCTTCCTGCTCCAGAGTTGATATTTCTGCTGCAGAAGTAACCGTATGGACCAGTTTAAATGAAAAGGCAAATGTAATGGCAAGCAGTGTTCAAATGCATGCCTGATATACAAGATTTATACAGACGCCTGAAGATTTCATGTCATGCTATTCTGCTGTTACATCTCCATGAAATTTCAGTGTCAGAAGCACACGCAATAAGCATGAAATGCTGACCAACAAAAAATGACCAACATAATCACATCAACCCTAAAGGAAAAGGTCATGAGCAGTTCCTCCTATTCACAAGCTTTTACTGTTTGCAATACAAGGCTGCTTAGGTAAATCATAGGATTACAGCAAAATCACACATGTTTTGAGCCAAATCTTTCTTGTTGTTTGCTTGTCAGAAAGTCTACTACAGAATGAAGCAATCTCATCAAATATAGGAGGCCTGAATTCTTCCCTGGAGTTAAACTAGTTTGATTTCTGTTTTGTTTCAATGGGCCAAGAGGCATTGTAAGTAAGAATGTGAAAGATGACATTGAAACTTATCAGACATCTACCAAGAAACAGGAGTGTCAAAGACAGGCTCTGATTCTGAATTTGCTTAAGTTTCCAAAAAGGCTGACAGGCAATAAGCGTAATTACTCATCTCTACAGATCTGAAGGTTTGTTATTTCATCAGTACTCTTACAGGGCATTAGGTTTCTTTCACAAAAGGGCCTTGTGCCATAAATTCAAGGGCAGGGAGAAGAATACATGGAGAAGGTGAAGCAGGCAGAGCATCATGGAACCCATCTCCATCTCAGGCAAAAGCATACATACCAGTCTGCTCTAAGGTATAAGACGTACACCAGGCCCACCCCACCACAACAGGTAGCTCTAGATCTGACATCAAGTACATCACAGATAATTATCATGGACAGTGAGTGCAACTGGCTTCAAAGCCACCCAAAAATACAGCATAAGCTTCAGAAGGATTGCAGGGAGTTTTGGTTTGAAAGGATTCTGCCTAGATACGTATTATTTAAACTACTGATATCAGAAATCCTTTTGCCCATTGCTGAGTCTACGTAACTACATGCTGTCTTCTTCAACACATGAAAGTAATTTCTCACTCACTGTTTTAAGTGTGCTGTAAAAATTATTTATGCCAAGAACACAAAAACTAAGCAAACGTACTAATAAATGAAAGGCAGGTATTCCTCCCATTCATAAAGCTGTGTCTCAAACCCACTGTTTCCAATAGCAGTCCTTTTTATTTAATGAGATTTGGACTGAGCCGCCGCTCCACCCCCATACACATTTGTTTCCTTGCATTTAATGATAAATTGGGGCTAATCATAAGCTGAGGCTGTTCAGCCTGGAGAAGAGAAGACTGCGTGGAGACCTCATAGCAGCCTTCCAGTATCTGAAGGGGGCCTATAGGGATGCTGAAGAGGGACTCTTCATTAGGGACTGTAGTGATAGGACAAGGGGTAACGGGTTAAAACTTAAACAGGGGGAAGTTTAGATTGGATATAAGGAGGAAGTTCTTTACTGTAAGGGTGGTGAGGCACTGGAATGGGCTGCCCAGGGAAGCTGTGAATGCTCCATCCCTGGCAGTGTTCAAGGCCAGGTTGGACAGAGCCTTGGGTGACATGGTTTAGTGTGAGGTGTCCCTGCCCATGGCAGGGGGGTTGGAACTGGATGATCTTAAGGTCCTTTCCAATCCTAACTATTCTATAATTCTATGATTTATGGAAGGTAGATAAACTGCGTTAAAGAGTTGCACTTGAGATGAAAGTTTATCTTTACAATGGAGGTGTGATACCAAAAGGAAAGAGGAGAGCAAACATATACCTTCGAAGGATTTTCTGATAATTTTTCATCCGAAGAACTACGAGCATGGTATCTGGAAGAAAGGTAAAAAGTTTTTCCCAGCACTACTCATCTCATGCACTCTATCCTCATTAACCACATTCCAAAAGCTTAGATTTGCTCATTATCATTCCTTGAAATTAACCTTTCCTTGTGTAACGACATAAAAGCAGGATACAATTGAGCTTCCTAAAGAAAGTAAACTCTATCTTCAGTGCCATCATCTTGAAAGCTCTGAAATTAACCCACAGTGCAAAAAGACAAACTGTTTCACTAAATGCCAAAGAGAATAAAGTCAGCCTGTGACTGTCAGCTGCAGAAAGTACTGCTTTTTAAAATGGTTCTTTCTTAAAAAGAACAAGCAACAGAGGTTCAATACAAATGGCACAGCAATCCCTCCCCCACCAAGAGCAACCAACCAAACCCCTCACATTTCTTACTATCCTAATATATAACAACAGCTTCCTCATATCTCCAGAGCTTGAGGAAAAGAAAGAACAATACATATTTGAAACAATTATATTTACAAAACACGGCATCTGTTTCTCACTGAAAGATCTTCACAATTTATAGTAAAGTCGCTATCTAAGGTGAAGGATAAAACGCCAGGAACGATGTGGGATGTATATATCATCACCCAATGGATTTTTCAGTTTCTAAAAACAAAAAGTCTTCAAACAGAAAGAACTGAAGATGCAACATTCCCCATCTTTTCGTTTGGTGCAACTGAGCAACAGCCATGACCATCCCTGCATACCTCAAGTAAGCCATGTTTTTACTTTGAACCTTATCATTATAAATGTGATGGCAGCAACAGTAATAAGCAAGCAAAAAAACCCCAGAACAACAACAAAAAAAAACCAAGCTACCCAACCATGGCAGACTGTATGTGCATAAGAAAATACTGTCTTTGCTGGGGCAACAGCCCCAGAGACAGAGCTTTCACTTACAGGATGAGAGATTAAGCCAATGACTGCTCCTGCCTAAAAATAGCAAGTCCACCAGCAAAATAAACAAAGCTTGTAAAATCACATTTAAAGCAAAGATGACCCCACTCACATTCAGCTTGCAGGAAGTGGCAATGCACTCATAATAAATGTACATTACAAATACACATCCCCATAACCAAATTAATTAGAGGGGAGGGCAAAGAAAAACAAAAGGCCAAAGGTACCTTGAATCTACTCTTAGTTCTGACAGCCCAATCCTCACAGACACTGGGAAGCACCAGCGCTCGAGAAGGTCTGCCACAAGCCTTGCTTTACCTTACCATCGCATTAAACCTGTTGTTTAATGGGTTCATTCAATGCCAGCTCACCCATCAAATACAAAACTTTAGTGCTCTCCAAGGATGCTTACTTCTGTTGGGAAGGTTGGATATTAGCAGCTGTGGCCTTCAGACGGGCAATGTTAATCTTCTCTGAAAGCTCCTCCACGGTCTCAATGTCCACCTGCTCGTCATCCTCACTGTATTCACGCGCTTCCTGGAACAGGTTTTGTTTCGTTTTTTAAAATGAGTATCTACTTAGCAATAGAGCTCAGGCCAAAACAGTTTCACTTCAGTCTCAGAAAGAGATTACATTAGAACATTAAGAAGCAATAAAAAAAGTCAACATCTCCAGCTACGCTGGCCAATAAACAGTGCCAGCAGGTGGTTATTGTAACTGTCACCTCCAGCAATTCCTCCCACTAGCAACTCTGCACAATGAACTTTGGTAAGGGCAAAGCCCATCTCTCTCATATATGCTTTTACTATGGCTTAGATAAAAAGCTTTCACAGGGCAGAGCTTTCCTGCCTCCGTTTTTGAATAAGATTAAACTTCTTTGTAAAACCCCACCACTGCAGGCTCTTGCTAATCCACATTCTTTTTTACATGAGTTGGGATAGTTATCACCTTGGTAATCGTCTTTCATACCTACGACAGCAACAGTCAGACATCATACAGCCAGGTTGCCTGGGGTCATACAGTTAACTGCTTATATGCTATATGATTTTGGCTTTTTCCAAAACACTGCCCAATCATTATTTTAAATACTTATGATATTCTGAAGAAAACCTTTTCTCTGTGTTTGCCTGACCAAGGAAACTGGCTACCATATGCGAAGACAGAGATAGAGAATAACCGCAGTGCTGTAGCAACTACAAGAGTTAAATATCAACCTTGTGGCCATTAGTAGGTGCTCCCTCCCCTGCAACAAACCTTACTCAACCAATCTTTTGCATTACAGCTTTTAATGGCAGGTGTTTTTTTTTATTATAACCTTTGGTCTGCTTACAGAATGCAGAACTCTTTCTCCTCCTTAAGTAAGAAAATGTAATTATACTTCCATTCTGTTTCACCCAGTTCCCTGAACTAACACAATCTTCTCCTCCTACTCTTCTGTTTCACCTTCCTTCTCTTTGTCCTTCTGTTATTTCTTTTTGAGGGGCTGAAACCTCCCCCTTCTCTGAACTGAATACTTACCTGAGATTGAGGTAAACAGTGAAGACCACTACTGTGCAGAACAGGAAGACAAGTAACACGCAGTACTAGATCAGTAAGTGGCATGCTTTTCATGGTACTGATTATTTAAAGTTATCTGCAACTTGCACTGATGTTTTAAAAAACTCTGATTAGAAAGAAGGACATCTTGCACTTACTCAACTGACCACAGATTAGGCTACATACAGCACTATAACAAAACCAAACAAGAGCAACCTAAATTGCCACACAGGTGTAACTAAGGAGTAGTTAAGGATACACATTTCCAAACACCAGTTGTAAGGTGCACACCTGTGAAGTCTGTAACTATGTTAAAGGGACCAAACACTACATCCTAGCTGGTAATCTCCTTTTTGATAGAGAAGCAGGCTCTTTAATGTTTGAGATAGTATTTGGTGTCTTCATACTGACTAAACACAACCTTTTCTTAACCAGAAAAAAGATAAACACACAACTCTGAACCCCACAGCCTGTTGCAGGGTTATCTAAACTCTAAAGAATACCACAAGAAATGCCACCAGCTTCGTTACTGACATCAGAGTAGCCACCACTGTGAACCACGCTGCCCCATAACATTATCAGTACTTTTTAAAGCTTGTGTAGCAAATACACCATCTCCCATAGCTGTGTGATTAAGACTATGGAAAACTGAAAACAGAATCTGTGTGAAAAATAAGGCAAGTTTGCCCTCTTTTACTAAAGGCTACACTGGTGATATAACCTTTGTAAAATATAGCAAACATACACTTAGCAGCTATGTAGCCTTTAGTAAAGTATATGGCAAGTGTATTGCACATCTATATATATGAAAAAGGGCATACATATAAAAGTGTGTGTATATAGTACATATATTTTAGTGTCTACATACATACACACATAGGAAATACTGCCTGTAGAATCTTACAGTTTTTTAAGAAGAATCAAACCATGCAGCATCTTCCCCGCATAAAAAGAGTGTCAAATATTCCCAAGTCTTCCATCACCTTCCATTCCTGTCATGAGGCATCCTACAATGTGTTGGTAGTATAGATTCTGTGTAGAACATGGTATAAACTGCTAAACTACTCACTTGCTGACACCTCTTCCTGTACTATGAAGCATCAAGACATTACTGCTGAAACAAAGGAAAGCGATGCTCAGGTTACCAGCTATAGCTGTTAGATCTGAACAGAAAAGCATTCTCACTTGTGCAAGTTGCTATGCACACTCCCGTATTACTTCTCTGCATGTAAAAGTCACGTCTTTTGAAAAAGAAAGAAAAGAGCAAGGAGAGTGATGAGCAATTACTATACTTAGAGATCAATCTCTCTCACTTTGAAGTATCTTTCAAAGATATTTTTAACACATGCTGACTTTAAAGACACCATTCTTCCCTGCCCAGGAAAGCAGCTCTGATCTCGGTAAGTTCTGTATTTGGCAAGGAGGTAAGTAAGTCACTGTACTACTACTAACTTCAGGGGTTTCTTGCAGCTTTCCTTCAGAGCAGCTGTGAATCTGGATTATGCCATGACAGTTCTTGTTATAAGGAGCAGCACAGAGGTAAACCAAATTCTCATCTGACTTTGAAAGTATGGTACTGGCACTGTTAGGAACTTAATGAAGTACTGTTTCTTTGTGCACAAAAGCCCATAAAATCCTTGTTTGTTTCACCTTGTAAGTATGCTCTCACAAAGACTCGTTAACACTAGGACCAGGCAGAGCACAGAGAACATGAACTATCTTTACCAAGGAAGCAGTACATCACTTTGAACTTGACATGCTGGTCAAGAGCTCCCCAAAAGAGCAGGAGAGTGAAAGTCAGGAGACATCACATCCCTGGGACTGTGGCGAGGTCCAACCACATACTGCTTGCAGCCTAGATCCAGAACACATATGCATAAGGGCTACTGAGATTCTGAGTTAAGACTACATTGCATTTCAGCATAGGTATCATGTTATACATAACAGCTCTCAAACACTGCCTGTGAACAGTATGCAGCTTTTTCATGGCTGTCAAGTGGCTCTATACACTCACAGAAACTTGGGAAATCCAAGTTCTATTTGGATGTAAAATCTCTCTCTCTAAGAATATCTCCTATGCAAACAGACAGCAATTTTTCAACAACTCCTCACATTTGCATTACTTGCTAGAGACTTGGTCAAGATCCAGTTTGAATGAACAGGAACCACTTTTTGGATGCCTTTTTTTAAGGAGTCATTTTGTTCTTAAGACAACCAGTGCACCCAAGTTGCCTTTAAATCAATTCTGCAGCTTCCCCATTGAAAAGCAGAGACTTGACCCATTTGCACAAAGTCACAGAAAGGCAGGAAAAATCAAACACACAACCGGAGATTCCCAAGTCTTTTTCAGAAGTCCTTTTTAGATACTTTTCTGGAAGTCTTTAAGTGCTATGCCAGGGATCACAGAACAAACTAGAGGATGTATCATAAGACCCAGAGTGCTAAAATTCCAAGGATTCCTCAGCTGAGAAGAACATAATCTTCAATGTGAAATTAAAGTCTACTAACTGGTAAGACTGGAGGGAGGGCAAAGCAAAAGAGGAGTTGGAAGATATCAAAACTGCACGGTCTCCCCAGACACAGCCCTTCTGCTGAGCTACAACGGGTGATGTGAGATGGAAAAGCATCATAAAGCCAGAGGGGGAAAAAGAACTGGCTGAAAACAAACTAATATTCAAAGATACTATTTAAGTTACAGAGCTACTGAATAGATACATGCCATTACATTGAAAATATTACATGGGCAAGAGGCACAGGGTTAATGTAATTTTACCAGGACACATTTTTATTACAACATGGCTGTATTTAATTATACACAAAGCACTTTGCTCCCCTGGGTCATCCATAAATCCTCCTTGGTGCTGGAAGCCTCCTGATAGTTTCTCTACCTTTTCCATTTTATACAGTATCATTGCTGTGTTCTAAATGCAGGAGATGCACACTGCTTTTCTTCAGTGGGCATGACTGCTGTCTAAACTACATTTAGACATCATCACACTGCAGGGAAGGAGGATGTGCAGGGCAGCTCAAAAGACGCTACATTTCAAAGAGTGAGGGGAAAAAAGCCCTCAAGAAATGTGCTTGCTGTATAAACACTATCATGGTAAAGCTTCCGAGTGCTGCCAAGTTACACTGTGCTAATCAAAGGGTTGATAATAATTATCCAGCTAGAGCTGCTCTCATGGTGGAACTTTCTGCATGTTACCATACCAGATAAATGGTATTCAGAACCTGAGATGTGGCAGCTTTTTCATGAAACACATGATAAAAATAGAAAATGGGGAAAAGGAAGAAAGACAGTGAAAAACTCCTCTCCACTACCCATTAGGAACTTCACAAATCCTGAATGTGAACATATGGAAAACAAAACACCTAACTTCTGTCATTCTTACATCTAACAACAAAGGGAAAAAATGCTTCAGGATGGTATCTTTCCTGAGTTCCTAACAACAGGGAAAACATCACAATTGCAAAGACCATCAGAAGTGAAGTTCTGCCACAAGAACAGCTATTCCTACACGTGTTCTGACAACCTGTCACAGGCTGAACCCTGTTCATAGCTTGAACCCTATTCATAGCCCAGCATGACTCCTTGTCAGGGTGCAAAGCTTCTAAGATGCCTGTGGACGGAAGTCCTACATTTCTAGCGTCTGTCTCTCCACAGGTCCTGTAGTTATAAAGCTTCTAAATGCCTCTGAGCTTCCGAGAGTAAAAATTACCTTGAGGAATGGAGACACAAGAGGAGCAATCCCACACTACAACAGAAGTTCCAAGGCTGCTACAGAAAGGTCAGCACTTTTCCCTCTCTGCATTTCAACACTTCTTTTTCTAAGCACTCTCCTCTCACTTTAATCTGTCTGTTCCTGGCAGCCTACACCCTTATTGCTAGCTCCTGAAGAGCAAACTGCCTGGTGGCGGAGGGTCCTCGGTGACAAAGGATGCTGTTAAGACATTTCCAAAGCAAACGCCTCATTTCTGGATCTGCCTTCTACTCTACAGTGTCTGCAGATTTCACATATGGTCAGTCAGTTCCTAAAGCTCAAAACATGTAAAAGATTGTTAGAACTTCAACTGTCCACAAAATGTTACTTGCCATTTTTATTCAACTTATGATGTTATAATAACTCATGATAGTTCCTTATCATTTTCATGGTCAGCTCAGAAAAAGAATGACTGAAAACCACATTTTAATGACATTTAAAATAACTTGCCAGACACAGAAGCTACGTTTAGACTAGTAACTTAAATGGGACCATGGGACTCTACCTGTACCATTAAAATACTAGAACACCCCCTGGCATGGTTTTGGCTTAAGCGAAAAAGAATTCATGAGAACAATTAACAGACACAGTGTGTTACTTAGCCCAGGCCAAACAGTCATTCTGAACAGGAATCCTGTGTGCAATCACCATGCTTTGGAGATCAAGAGTTTAACATCACATCCCAGACCATCGCACTTGGATTTGTTCAGACAACAAGTCTCGATATTGATTAGTTTGCTTAACAAGGTATCTCGGAAGGTTTTATTTGTATCACCAAACCCACAACGATCAATCTTCCTAAGCTTCTCTTGATGCACTTCAGGGTAGGAAATACAAAAGAACAAGAGAACATCTAAGGAAGCCTCTCTCTTTTCATTGAATAGAGGAGGTGTCTACAAGAGTCTCGTAAGTCAAGCACACAAATTCAGCACAAGGTAAAAAGGTAATCTGAAGAGCACTGATATGTAAAATTAAGAAGAGTAAAGTCATTACTGCAATGAGAACCAATGCAGGCAAATGTACTAAAAACCAAACACAAATAGCTTCTACAGGTAGGTAGAAAGCGACTCTCACTGGAATTTTCAATAGGTATTCCCTGAGCAACTAAACCCAGCCCATATTCCAAACTAGTACTGAAAACAGCTGTCATTAGTACTGCCACTAAACAGAAGTATTCTTGGACATACATGTACACTTTGCTCTGTTTTCACTAGCTTAATGAAGCAGATAAATGTCCTCTAGTAGTTTGTTCGTCTGATTGACTTCACCCAGTCTGACAAATAATACCAGTGCAGCCTGATTGTAAGCACTATGCTGATAAAAGAGTACATCCCCAGTGAAAAAATAACAGACTTCCATACTTAGATTTAAAACTGAATCCTCCTTAGGCACTGACACGCTAACTTTACATGTAGGCAGCACAGACTAACAAACTAAGAACTCACCCAAACTCCAGACACGTTTTTACAGTACCCTGAAATCTCATTCCTCAGCTTTATTGCTCTAGAACCAAAGCCAGCTTACTCACGTCTGTGTGAGCTTATGGCAAACACGTACCCTTACATGGCTTACCAAACCGTACTAGTCAAAACCTGCACAGGGAGTTTCTTCCAAAACAAACGCTTCTTGTAATCTCTAATTATTTTTTCACTTCATCATCCTTTTGCAGCACAAAAGAAAACAACAACGCTGATAAGAGGCTACTCTGTGACCTAGACTTGTTATTGTTGGCTTACCAACAGATAAGACTACCTTGTATAGAAAGTTTATCTAGCATCAGGCACAAATTAACCCCGGTTCTCAAAACTTGATGATAACTCTGCTGAAGATACTGAAGGATACAGGAGTTACCAAACTGTCACTGTCTGACTAAAGACAAGACAGCAACAGCTCAGTTTCCAGCCTGAAAGAACTTTAAAGTTACATATGCTTTCAGTTTCCTCACCTTCACGCAGCTGAGATGCTATCATCTTGCCTCAGAATAGCAAACTGCAATATCAAGTGATTAGTCAGTTTTTCTGGAAATTAAATAGGTTCTCTAAGAGCCCAAGTTACTGACTTAACTGAGTTAATCTGGATACGGTTAGAAGAAAAAGAAGTCTAATTTGGTTTTCAACTGTGAGAGGACTATATTAAGACAAGAGACCTACAAGAACTATATACTTTCAAAGCCCTGAAGACACTAACATAATCTCTTCTATCTTTCTTTGTACTTCAATTCTTCTCCAGTTTAATCTCTTCCCACTTTTATCTCATCCCAAGAAAGGGCTATGTTATTTCCTACTTGACTGACTGACAGAACCACAACTTCATAAATTTTAAGTAACAATGCACTTTTTTTTGATGTATCACATACAGATATTTCAAAAGTACATGAGGGAGTTACATGTGGGATTTCCTTTTAATTTCTAGGTGGAATTTGATGGACATTCCATGAGCACCAAAGTCTAAACATACTTTAACTATACTTAAATACGATGTTTTACTCTCATTTTGTGACTTCCAAAGCAATTTGCTTTCTATCGCATATGGAATGACAGCTTTCAAGCACTACTTGAATGTATTTCTAAATTTCAAGAGGAATTTAAGGAGAGATTCAAACATTCCTTTGCGAATTTTAACTAAAGGGTACAAAGATGAAGTAGAAGGAATCAGCTTAAACTAACAGAAACACTAGATGGGCTACTACATTTTAGGATTGTAAGTCATGTTACAAGGAACCAAGCTGCTTTAGTAAATAAACATGCAATGGTTGTTACAGCTTGCTCGATAGAACTCCTTTTATCTGAAAACCAGATAATTTCTACAAGGCCACTACAATGCTACCTGTAATAAAAGCATACAACTAAGAAACAGAAGACATTCCCACATGGAACCCTGATCCAGACATTCTAAAGAAAATGAAGTCCAGAACAAAAAGATCACACTGTGTCTTCCAAATCCATGGCTTGGGACATGTTAGTTGGTCAATTAAATAAAATGACCTTCAGAAATAGTGAAATGCTTACCACTTTCTCAACATCTATTTCCTCTTCACTCGGGAAGTCAGAAGCACCATCCAGCATCTCATCAGCAGAATCATCCGTTTTTTCATCCTCTTCATCATCATCTTCTTCTTCCTCTTCCATACCATCAGCAGTTATACCAAGAGTGGGCATTTTGGGATGCTGAAGTTCTTGTGTCTTCTCTTCTGGTATCAGGAAGTCACTTTTCTCAGAGGTATCAGCTTTGTTATCCACCTCACTTTTATTTTCTAAAGGTGGTACAATGCTGGATATTTTACTCCAAGAACTGTTGACATGCGTTACAATATCATGACCCGTTTTCAGTTCTTCCTGAGAATCAAAAGGCGCTTGTTCTTTGTTGCTACTGCCTCCCAGCCCAGCAACATTTGCTTTGCCTTCCTTGGTACTGACTGTATGCTCTTCTCCTGAAGCATCCTCCTGCTCTTTTGCAGAACTGATACCACATTTACTCCCCAGTTTCTCCTCTACGCTTTCTGCTTCTGCAGAGCTCCTGTTGTCCTTCCTTTCCATATCTAGCTGCACAGCATCACCCTGGCATTCTTCTTTGTTCTGAGACGGTTCAGTCTCATTCTGTTCCATGTTCTCCAGCTGTGTGCCTTGCTCTTGTTGATTCTGTGACTGCTCAGAACTTGCCTTGTCCTCTTTCATCTGTGTGTGTTCATCTCCTTCCTCCTCTTTTATTGGTTTCTCTTCCTGTTCAGCACATGTCTGTTCATTCACATGGTTCTTCAACCGTGCACTCTCCTGATTCTCAAGACTCTGTTGATGTGCATTATCCAGAGGAGCAGCTAGAGACTGATCAGATGACCCACAAACAGCTTCAGAATTAGTTGAAAAAGCCTTCACTGCAGTTTCAGAAGTGAGAGAGTCCTCTTTTTCCTCAAAAGCCTCTTTTTCTTCCTCATCATTTTGCTTCTCACTGATGTACGAGTGGTCAGATGATATGACATCTGCGGAAACATCGTGCTGAGAAGAAGTGCTATCATCACAAGAACTCTCTAGCACCTTTGAGTCCTTCTCCACCATCTCTAATGCAGTGGAATTTCTATCAGGTGCAACTGTGCCAGATGCTGACTCTTCAACATTATTTGACTGGTTAATTGACAACTCATTTTCTTCTTGTTTCCTATCAGACACTGCGAACTCAGACTCCACAGCGTCATCTGAGCGTGAAGCCTTCTCATTCTCCTTCTGCTGAGCAACATCCGGCTCCTCTTTCTTGCATATTTTCCTGTAATTCTTCTTCAACTGAAGAGATGCAAAATGGTTCAGAATGGAGTTTGGCACAGTCTTCTGTCCTGGGAGCTGAAGTAAAGCAAAACTACCAGATTGTAAAGGTATGAGATTAGCAGCAGTAGCTGGCAGACCACCTGAGCTGCAGGTTATTTTAGATTCAGAGGCTGTCTGATTTGTCACACTGCCAGCAGTAGGAGCGATCCTCAGAGTCAGGGCGCCTGCCTGTGACACAAAACTTGGTACTGAAGGAAGAAGAGAAGATGCTTGCGTGGCTAGGTTAGACGTAGGGGATAACTTGGGTATTGCAGTTTGTGCAGCTGAGTTTGTGGCAGGAGAAGTGGAAGACACAGAGGAAGTGGGAGATGCAGGTGACTCCGGAGGCTTAGAAGGTGCAGGCAACCGGATTCCTACAACAGAGCCTGCGAGGAAAGCAAAACATCAACTAGTATTTCCTCAAAGCCTTTTTTATTTCGTTTTAGTATTGATGCTGTATTGGAAGTAGCCAGCATTCTCAGGGATGAAAGAGCTGGTACTGCACAGACATACAAACAGCTTCATTTTCATATGGAACACCCCAATAAAATACATGAGGTGGCTACTCTAAAACAAAGAGATTTAATGGTAAGCTGCAGCATTAAGTTTTCTAACCAAAAAAAGGCATTACATTTAGTTAGTTCTCTGCATTCCCATTTACTGGAAAACAGGAAAATGGAGATTAGAAAAAAAAAAAAATCCACAAACACCACAGCTCCACCTCCCCTCCCTGCAAATACTTCCACAGAGAAAAACCTTGACAAGATGACACAATCATACCACAACCTTTTTCCTTACTGAATTCTTCTGTGGCATTTCAGAACTCCATAAAACACAAAGAAAAATACCACTGCTGGCAATTAGTTTCTCTTGTACAGCAAAAGCCCCAAATCAGAAAGAAAGTCAATGAACGTTTTGACTGATTCTTTAGCACACTCCATGTTCAAACCTCAACTAAGGCACAGGATTACTCCCAGCCCCATTTTGCCATGTACTACGCTTGCTCTCACCTCTGTTTTCAACACCACCTGGCCTCCCTCTCAAGATGCACTACATACATTGCAATGCATACATTCTTTATGCACTACAATCAGCTGAAAATCAAACTTATCTTTCTTCTCGCACTCTAAAGAGGCAAACCCCCAACAATTTTGTACTGTACTGTAACATCTGATCTGAACATCTGCTGTAAAAGCACTAACAAACATGCAAACCAAACAAAAATAGAGCAGCAGATCTGTGATTCTATGAATGAGACACAGGTAACAGCAGCTCATTCTTTTAAAGAGAATCTTCAACAAGAATTAGTTTTGAATCACCAGATCAACAGAACTTAAGTTACAACAGTACAATGGACATGGCTGTACTGTACTATACATACATACACAGAGACTTTCACTTGCTGCACAGAACTCTCAAATTCTGGTGACTTAGCTATTAACTGCACTTTCTGTATTTTAAGAATGGTGTTTAAGCTGCATTTCATCTAAATTAATTAAACTATGCTCTTCAGTTACTCATGCAGAATCAAATTAGACCCTCTTCGATTACTTCCAGCAGGGGAAACAAGCATCATGGATGGAGCATTTACTACATTGTTAGTTACTAGGTAATGCATTTGTCAGTCAAGAAACACTGGACTTTGTACCTGGATTGCGGAACATCACTGGCTGCACATTGGTTTGGGCACCTGTAGCTCGAAACTGTTGGAGGGGGACAAGCTGAATTATCTGCCCATTAGGATGTCTGAACAGGTTCATACCACCAGGGTTCCTGAGAGGCTGAAGGACCATCCTCTGCCTCTGAGCAAGCTGCATGCTGTTTAGCGGTCGCAAAGCAGGAGATGTCTGATGCACCGGAATCAGCAGCAATCGAGGTCCTACACGCTTCTCTGCTCCAGGAGACATCTGGGAAGTCTTGTTTATACCTTGTGCAGTAGCATCTTCTGAAACATTTAAAGTTACATAAAAAAGTCAGAGAACAGCCTATAAATCAGGCATTATCCTCAGTGAAAACAAGCACAAGTGTTTAAATTTGCTTGAATTTATTTTTTTTCCTCTTTCATTCACAGAACACACACAGAACCAACAAGGCCAGAAGAGTCTTTTCGTGCAGTTCCACTGACATTTCTCACTGTGACTCAGAAGACTTCCATGTTAACAAGAGCAATCCCATACCTGCTTCTTCGACTGCCAGCCATGCAATTCTAGCAGTCATAATTGTGCTATACTTTTCTATGGGCTAACAGATGATGTGACAGCTCATTTCATAGCAGTCACTGACCAGATACCTGCATTTTTTCTCCTCCTCTACTGGCTCTGGAACACAAGCAACTTACAGAGATTACATTTCTGACCCTAGTTTGGAAAGAAGGGTGAGACAAGTGAATCTATAATTGAGTTGGGCTCTACAGTTGTGGACTGTATTGCAGATATGACGGAGGTGGAATAAAAACCTGAAGTGTTTGCAGTAATAGCCCAAAGCACCTAAGTCTTACCTTTTTTTGGAGTCAGTGAAGGACTCGAACTAACTCCTGACAGTATAATCGGAACAGAGCCAGCAGAGCAAGTCACCACAGATGCAGCTGTCACAGCTGTTGTTAGCACAACCGTAGCAGTGGACGTTGTGACAACAGGACAAGTAACAGTTGGTGTTGTTACTACAGTTTTAGGGAGTGATGTGGTTGGTACAACAGTCCCTGTTGCTTTTCCTATGTTCACAGTGGCAGTTGGCGTGGTGGATGAGGGAGTAGTAAAGATGTCGATTCCAGATGTTACAGGAACAGCTGTGACTGTAATTGCAGGAGAGCAGGCAGGTTCACTAGCTCTTGTTTGGCCAGGAGTGGTCACAGAAGATGCTGCCGCACTGATACTTTCCACAATAACTGGAGAAGTGGTGGTGACCGTAGTGATCCCAGGAGAGACTGTGCATTGAGCTGCAGGTAGCCTTGAGGGAACCACAGGAGTGACAACCATTATCGGTGTAGGCTTGATACTGAACTTCTGTGGCCCTGACACAGGCTGGCGTGTGTTCGCTCCAGGAACCTTCTGCTGCAGAGCTCCGGCTTTGTTCATCACAAACTGTGCGAACACACCACCGGGCGAGGGTCGGGCAGCTGCAAATAAAAACTTGCAGGTCAAAATTGTGACAGATTTCCTCTTTGCCTTTCATGAGGTGCTACAACTGTAACTTCAGCATGCAAGTGAGCCTCCGCTTCCTTTGTACCTTGTAATTAAATTGAAACCTTTATGGCAGTCCTGAACATGCCTCACATATTAGAATTAAGTCTGCTTTATTCCACACTTCTATAGCTTTTTGTTGCATTCTTCCTGGCCACACAAAGAATTGCGTCTTGAGGGGCTGTTCTTTATCATGAAACCGACAATCCTAATTACAGCACAGGAAAACAAACACCTAAATAACACGAAATAATGAGCCCAAAGCTATTTTCTAAGCCTCAAATTCTTCCTGTAACAGCTTGTGTGATCTTCCTCTTCTCACTGCTTCTTGGGTTTCATTCCCCTTCTACTATATCCACATCTTACACAGCCATGGCGTAAGGGGTGAGAGAGAGAGATAGAGTTTGCCATGTCCCCTTCTCCCTGCAGCAACACTCATGCAACTGAGACTGGATGGGACAAATTTGATCAATAGGAAGCAATGACCATTGGGAAGATCCTTCCCCCATCCCTTGCTCTCCAAGAGATTAGAATACCGCAACTACACAACTCCAGGTTCCTACAGGTGAGTACAACAGCAGAGATTATGGAACAAGCCCAACTTAGATACCATAGTTATTGATGCATATAGCATCTTTAACCAAGAATATGCCAGAACATTTAAATCACAGATGTAACAGCCACTTCACCCATCAATGAAACGTAGCCAGCTCTTCAACAGTATGGCATAAACACACAGAACAAGAAGTTTTATTACAGGACAAGAGAAACAACACACCCATTTACATGGCAATGAAAATTCAGGCAGGAAGAAACAAAACATCAGAAACTAGAGTTTTGCCAGGACACAGGTAACATCCTCTTCTCTTGAAAAGCTTCTTCAGATCCTTAAATAACTTTGGGAAAATGTGGATGGGCACTAGGTATTTTAATATGTGTTTTCTGAAACTCATGTAAAATGTAACAGTTAAAGGGAACTTCCTCTCTTGCCATGCTGAGGTAACCGTTTCAGTACCAATTCACATTCAAGTACCATATGCTTCTTCTGATACTCAAAGTGCTGCTTAAATCCAACCCTGTTTAGCTTGTGAAATCCAAGGAGATTACAGGCTGGTGTGGTTATTGGCTGCACACCTGTTGCTTCACTAATCCAGATTTGGACCATCCTGTCTTTCACTGCTGCTTCACACATCTTGTGGTCGTAAGAATCCCAATTACTATAAATTCAACATCATCAGAAAAACTATCAGTGAAGAACCAGTGTTAGAGTAATCCTTTAAACTGATGTTTGATGAAAAACAATTAAAAATCACAGCAAGGAAACTCAGAACAAAAGTCCAAGCTTAACTTTCAGTGTGTCTCCATCCACTCCTTCCTTGTCTCTTGAAAAATGCTCTAGAAGCATTAATAAAATAACTAATAGTCAACATCTGTAATCTTACTCTGAAGCCAAAATAAAACTTTCTGCTTTAAAGAGGTTATTTATTGCAGAGGCAGTTTAGGTAGGCAATGCAGCCAAAGGCAGCATGCACTGATGCACAGAAATCAACAGCAATGCTGGATACACTCACTTTTTACTACAGCTTCACGCAATTTAAAACACAGTAAGAAGTTCCAACCTACCTATCTGTCTCTGTGCTGGGACATGGGTTTTCAGAGTCGTCACAGTGGGGGTTGAAGTAGTGCTGGTGGAAGATGTAGTTTTGGGAGTTGATGTTGTGGGCACCTGGACTGATGGTGTCCCAGAAGCAGCTGCTTTAGCAGTGGAATCTACCTTGGAGATCACAGTACTGAGGGCTGAGACACCAAGTACTGTGCGTCGCAGCCTGCGTGTGACATAAGCTGCTAGCCGACTGGCAGGATGTAATGCCCCCATCTGTCCCAAAAGCAGTTTGGCCTGAGGAAACCTTTTATCATTAACCTGAAAAAAGTGGAAAAGGGAAATTTTGTGAAAAGAATGCTAATTCACCACCTCTGGAGAGGTGTTTCATTCCATGGGACTTCTAAGTGTCTTTAAAAAAGCACTGCAGTTCAGAATGGGAATTCCTAATCTCCTTACTGCTGGGGAGAACTTCAAACAACTCTGTCGTATCTTTATAACACAAATTTTTAGATGCTACTCAGACTCCCACACAGAACCACAGACTCCAAAGGAGGATGTGAAATCACTGAAATTAGATGGAATGAAGCTGGCACTAAAGTCTTCCTGTCCCTTACCTACACTATGGTCCTGAATAAATATGGGTTGCCAAATTCAAGGACAATATCAAATAAAATTTTTCATTACACAAGAAAGAATACTTATGGCAGATACATTGGGACAAAACTCTAAAAGAGCTTGTAAAAGCCTTACCAGCTTTCTTCTTATCTGTACTGTCATTGGATACTGTAATTTAAGGTGTGGTGAGTTGACAAACTTCACACTCAAAGTTGCAGTTGTAACTGACTGCATGGGAGAGCAGAAACAGCACATTTCTAAACATCAGGTTTTATGCCTAGTGGTCAATGGGATGCTTTGGTTGTGTTGCACTTTACTTTCAGGGTGTTTGATACCTTCTAGAAGCCAAATGTATTTAAACACAGGACTAAACAAGGTCTTGACTCTTTTTACTGATCGACTTTTAATAAAAGAAATCTCCCCTACATTTTTCCCACTCCATTAGCTTCTCTAAGGGTGCCATATCTGCAAAGTGCCATGAAAATAAACATTACTCTGATTTCCTCGTTTATGTGCCTTTCCTGAAAGTGATATTACTGTAACCACAAATACCTTTGACTGAAAAAGATCTTGATCTTGGGTCTACAGTTCCTACCACTGATTCATAATACCAAGTTGGCAGCATGAAATTGCAGGGAAAGGACTTGCTGAATTTAGAATTATGAATTTTCTTGATGAACAAGATCTGTTCTGCAAACACAAGGTAGACTATTAGTGAATGCTAACAGTAAGCTGTAGCAAAACAGAGTTTAATGCTTACAGTTTCATTTTAAAGTTTTGTCCCAGTGTACACTTCCTCAGAAAAGATGCTTTCTGTGCTCCCTACCCGCCATTCATTTAAGGTTATCATCTATCAAATGCATCTGCAGGGAGTTTCCCCAAAACACCAAAAAGATCCTGAGAGAGATCCTGTAACTGGGCCACCAAGACCCAAATTGCCGAAAGGACAAGTTAAACCATCAGATTTCAGACTTTCAATCAGATTTCCTGTTATTGAGTCAATCCTGAAAGGGACAAGTTTATGGAGAGGCAGGAATACCATCAAATACTAAGAATCCTTGTCTGGACAGGCAAGACTAGGTAGAAAAATCAAAGAGTGTTCTCCCCTTCAAGAAGTTGTGGGATGCTGGATGAAACTGAATCTAATCTCCACAGTAAAGGCAGAGGGACCCACCTGAATCAAGCCCAAGGGGCTCATATTAGCTTTGCAACTGTGGACGATCATCTTTCCTGCAGGAGAAACCCCTGCATAAAAAGGTAAGCCTTTTCCCCCACGCAAGCTCTCCTCCAGTTTGTTCAGTGGGTCTCCCTCAAAGACCTGTGAGTTTTCTGTGCTTTTGCATGACGGCTCTCCACTATCAGCAGTCTCCAAGACAGGTATCTCAGGTTTCTCATCCTTCTCCTGGTAGGATGGCACTGAAATCTTCATTCTGGAGGAGTAGACAGGAGGGTGGTTCTCATCCTCGGCCTTGGGTTCTGTAGCCAATTCAATAGCGAAGCTACCCACTTTGAGGCACTGTGGCACCTTATTGTTGATTTGCTGTGATAAGATGGTCAAGATCTTATTGTGATCTTCCTCCAAACTGCAGTCAGAGATAATCTCGATAAGTTTGGCTGGTCCACCTGGAGTGGTGTGATGAACATAGGAGGTGGAGGAAGAGTCCCCCTCGCTACGGGAAGAACACCAGCTTTTCTCTGAGGAAGAATTGAAACAGGTTTCTGCAATACTGTGGCATTTTAATCACCTGGATATTCAAACAGTTTTATTCTGCCCACACCTCCACCCTTGTCTCAGCTGCAGGGCAACAAGTAAAAGACCTGTTCAAAACATCACTTCCCCCTGCAGAGCTTCACAAGCAATCAAAAACTCACTTCAAAACTAATGTAATTATTTCTCAGTTCATTCCCTGCAGCCATTGCATCACAAGCTAAACAAAGCTGGGTTGTTTCAGTACATGGATGAAAGACCTCCAAGCAACACCAACATGCAGTAGAAAGCATCAGTGGTTACTTGAGAGATGGCACTTTGGAGTCAGAAAAGGACCAGTGTCTTAGAACGGCATGAGGGGCAAACGTGCTGCTAGCAGAAGCGGCTTTTTCAGAAGATGTATAAAGAGAAGCATGACCTTTTGTTGTCAGAGATCCAACGTCACTTTTTGCAAAACTGCAAGGATGTTGAGCCCTGTGTCCTGGCCATTTTAATTTCACCTACCAATTCACGAGCATTTTCAACTAGTTGTATTATTTTTCCATTCCCATCCTTAAATGTAGAGTGCGCTGCTGTACACATTAAGCAGTGATAAAATTCAGCTCCAAAAGGCACCTATATTTCATTAATGGATGACACAATGCCTCTAGTGTATCTCATTTTAAATTACATAACATGACTTGGGACGCTTCAGGAGAACACAGATGTCTAGCCTACTTCTTTATGAACCAAAACCTCAAACTTGGTATACATAATGTAACAAAACTTCAACCTTTAAACTTGAACTAGAATTCAACAGCAAACAACTGCAAACAAAGTACAAGTGCTTCCTTGTCCCATATGGTTCTAAGGATCCCATCCTCACAGCACCACTTGCACATTTATTATTCAGTAACAACAAAGTAATAGTAAGGAGGGGGAAAAAAAAGAAACCGAGACAAACCAAAGCCAGTGACCTCCATTCCTTCCCAAATATCTGATTATCACTCATGAAGACAAGTCTGCTGTGCAATATTGTTTTTTACTGCTAAAGAAGCTACTGTAATACTGGTCATTTTAACCTTAGAGTAACAGTGAGAACTGGATATTTAGACTGCTGTATCTCCCCCACATTACACACACAACTGCTAAAGAAAACAGGAAACTGTAATCACATCATGAAGTTTTTATTGACAACCATAACAACTCCCCCAGAAAACGGACTTTTTATCAAGAGCTGAAACTTCCTTATAAAAAATAAAGCCATTACCAAAACCCCACAAAAAGGCGGAACTACCAAAAGGTTGAATTATACTCAAGACTCAGATCTTACCTCCTGATTTATCAGTGTCTTTGTCTGCCTCACAGGTTGCTTTCTCAGGAGGCTGAGGGTCTGGTTCAGGTTCTTCCTGGAGGAAAGAAATGCAAGGAGAAAAAAAAATCATCCTCTGGATCTCTCTTCCACATCACAAAATAAACCAGTCTATCATATACTGCCACCCCAAATCAGAAAACATGTCAATGTTGACAATACGAGAAGTTTCATCTTAAACCAGCTCTTTTCTCAATCAACATTTAACTCCTACATGATAATCCACTTCGTAACCAGGAATTTCCACAGACAAGACAATTTCTATCACAGTAACAGGATAAAAGTTTACTGGTGATAGGCTTCAGAGCCCTATCACCATCAAATGGATCACATAGGGATTTCTGGGATAAATATTACTTCAACATTTTCAATATTTCTGCCTGTTCTATGACACATGCTATGTAGTGCGACTTCATACCTTCACTCTAGGACTCTGGGAATCACTTTTGTCTTTTTGTTGCTTTTTCTCCTCTCTCTTGCGTTCATACACTCGGACCCTTGCACAGGTCATCATACTTTCGAAGTATAAGTAGACAGGATCCTTGTCCTCCTCTCGAATCTACCAAGAAATAAAAGAAATTAAAAAAGAGAGAAAGGAACCTCTCTGTTCAAGATTCACATTAGATTCATGAAACAGTTTTGCTTCCTAGCAACACTTCAGCATTAGTGCTTTAATAGTAACTGTCAAAACAAAAGACTGGCATTTAAAGCTGAATCGGCCCTCTTAGTACCACACTGCCCAGTATGTATCTTGCTTCTAAATTACATACTGGGGATGAGAGGAATGGAACAGAACACCATCCCCAAAACCCAAACCTGTTCAGATATTAAGTGAGGAAACAAGTCCCAACTGTCATGCATTGTTTGACTTTAGCTGGTATATGTTAAATAGCAACTCTGGCAAGTTTAGACTCTATTGCTGTTGCTTCTGTTATATACTAAGGTGAGGGAAGAGGCAAAGGCATATTCTTCCAACACTGGCTGTGAAACCTCAAAAAAAGGAGAAAAAAAGACTCCAGAGCTATACTGATCACTGTGTCTGTATCCCCTTACCTGCCAAATAATTCATTACTTGGTTGCGCATAACGTAGCCCAATAACTTACACAAACATTACAGGAAAAGCAATCATTTTGCCACCAATAGCATATATTATAGCATTTTTTAAATGAGGCCATTAGTGAATTATGAGCACCTTTCACCATCTGTGTATTGCTACAGTAATTCTCAACAGATGACAGACACAGCTAAAGATTTATATACAGTCAACTCATCCTAGCTTATCAACACACCTATGGGCAGATAGTCTCAGGTTTTCACCTCACATTTCTTCTGAAACAGCCTGGTGCAGAAGCTTTTGACAGTGTTTGGTTTAGTTTTCAATACAAAGGAAAACAAACACATCTTTTTCTCTCTTACCACTGGATTGGGTTTAGGAATATAGACTCTGCCTGGTTTCGTTCCACTGGAAGACCTATGCTTACTAGAAGGCAAGACTTCTTGGTTGGGTGGTATCACAGACTTAACTGGTTCAATAACAGATGGTGTTGGGATGTAAATTGGCTCTGGATCTACTTCACCTTCTACTTTCACCCACAATGGGCAATTCCTAACAGGCTGTTCTGGCTCAGAGTCACAAATAGCTGAAAAAAAAAAAAAGAAAAACCAAGAAAAAAAACCAACTTACTTATAAATAAATAAAACACTTAGCAACCATGCAACTATACACAGCAATTGCATATACAGCTCGAGACACTTGGTAAAAGAGGAAGAAAACAGCACTATGACAGTGAAGATTACCAACAGTGACAGCAGTAATTATCTCACATCCTTATTCTTTGAAGATATTGGATCACAACAAACAACTTAGTACTTAAAATGCTGATCAGGTAAGTAAGAGTTAAAATAAAAGAAAAAGGTGTAATTTCCTGCTAGTCAGCTATATGAAAGCAGATGTTGCAGACGTCTCTTGGAATTCAGTCATAATTTCTGGATTTAGAAATGGCATCACTACTACATCCCAACAGAAATGCCCACCAAGACAGGTGATTTCTGCAAAGCTGTAAGTAATCACTGTTGCCCAGCAATACTCACTGTATTCCACCCTTTTTCTCTTCTTCTTCTCTTTCTGCTTCAGCTCATCTTCTTCTCCATCACCCTCTTCTTCCCCATCTTCATCCTCTTGCTGGTCTTCTTGTGTTCCATAGAACGTAAGATCTCCACGCATAGCCTTTTTCATTATTCTCTTATGTTTTGATCCTCCCTTCACCAGCATCACTCTTCTCTTCAAGCACGTACAACCAAACATGCAGTCTGGCCTGCGGCAGTGGGTCGGCTGACGCTTCTCCAGTGCCAGACTGGCACATATGCAACCCAGGCGACAGAAATCGTTATTGCAAGGAGGTGCTCGTCGTCTGATTATCTTGTGGATAGGTTTGTTTTTGAGAGAAGCCTAAGAAAAGATGTAAGGAAGCAGGCACTTCAAATTTTACGAAGATTAAATCAAGCGTATGCAAAATTACTTAATTTAGAATAACTCCTCCAACTACATGGTTAAAATCGGAAAATTTGTCATCTATACTGTAACAAACAGAACAGAGGAGAGCTGGCATCTGAAGTCATCTGAGAGGCAGTCTGAGACAGCTAAACTATCTTGGTAATAAGTAGGATGTGAAGAAAGCAGAAGTTATCATGTGAAAACCGAATCAGGTGACCAGGATGGTTTTGCAGTTAATTCAACACACAAATAGTAAGGAAATGCAGCTATATTAACCAGAATTTCTGATGGTGAAAATCAGATACTCAAATTATTAATGATTCGCACCAACATGCTACTATCATAATTACATTTCCACATACTACTAAGTCAGCACTTCTCATCATTCACTGCAAAGACTACACCACAAAGGAACACCATGCTTTGTCGTGCACCTTAGAGCTTTGGTCCTATTTTCTGCATCTATACACAACATCAGTTAAGTGGACACATCTGGAAAATCAGCAGTACAGAAAGGAAAGAAACTATTACAGATCTACCTGAGCTGTAAGCAGGGTTGCCAAAGAGATGTCTGCTCGTTCTTCTGTAATATAGGTCCGTGGTTTGCCATCCCAGAGAGCACAGTCTTCCAAGTCCATTAACTTCACTTGAGATTTAGACAAACCTGGTGGACGAACTGCTTGTTGCTGTTGTGGTGCTTGGCGCAAACTAATCTGTTTTGGAAGTGTGTTTTCATCCACAGGTGACATCATGAAACCACCGGCTTGGTTAGTCACACTGATATTTGAGGCAGACTTAGCAGCCTTTTCCCCGAATGCTGAAATGTTCTGTTTCTGCTTTGCAGTAAAAGGTGAAGGCAGTATAGGCTTGTAAGATGATTTTACTCTGTTTGTAGATGTCTGTCTGTTTTGAGACTTTGTCTTCCTAGAGGTAGATGATAAAGGAACAGGCTTGAACGTGTAAGATGTTGATGGAATTGTGGTAGACTGCTTCTTTAAGACACTGTCGAGTGTTCGCACGTAACTAGTGCTCTTAGTGGGAAGCTGATACACCACAGGAGAAGCAGGAGTGCTAGAAGAAAATCCCATACTCGTTTCCATCAATTTCCCTTCATTTTCCAGATACTCATCCAGCTTGTCACTACAGAACGCTGAGCGATTCTTCAAGGAACCTTCTGAACTGCCACCTAAATAAACAAAAGAGCAATATAGCTCCTGAGAGAATATACTGACAAATCTTATAAAATTCAACATTATAGAAGAGGTAAATAATTCTCTAAGAAAACAGTTACTCTTCTTTTAGAGGAGTACAACACAGGCACGCCAAATATAACCCATTCTGAAACACAACCAGCTGTCTGAACCAGGAAGTAGGGCTTCAGTACACACAGCAGTTATCATAGAATCACAGAATGGTTTGGGTTGGAGGGGACCTTAAAGCTCATCCACTTCCAACCCCCTGCCATGGGCACCTTCCACTAGACCATGCTGCTTCAAGCCCCACCCAACCTGGCCTTGAACACTTCCAGGGATGGGGCAGCCACAGCTTCTCACGGCACCCTGTGCCAATGTCTCACTACAGTAAAGAACTGTTTCCTAATAGGTAATATAAATCTCCCCTCTTTCAGTTTAAAGCCATTCCCCCTTGTCCCATCACTTCATGCTCTTGTAAAAAGTCCCTCTCCAGATTTCATGTAGGCTTCCTTTAGGTATTGTAAGGCTGCTATAAGGTCTCAGATGAGCAATCCCAACTCAGCCTATCTTCACGGGAGAGGCACTCCAGTTGTCTGATCAACTTCATGGCTTCCTCTGGACTCACTCCAACAGGTCCACATTCCTCTTGTCTTGGGGGCCCCAGAGCTGAACACAGGACTGCAGGGGGGTCTCACGAAAGCAGAGTAGGGGGGAGAATCACCTGCCTCAACACTGCTGGTTTGTGTTGAGCTTCTCATCAACCAAATCCCCTTGGCCCCCAAGTACTTCTCCTCGGGGCTGCTCTCAATCCATTCTCTGCCCAGCCTCTATTTGTCCTTCAGAAGACAAACACCCCAATAACGAATGTGTGTGTGCGTCCCTTAGCTTTTATTGCGGAGCAGACATCACACAGTATGGAATATCACAGTATCACAGTATGCTAGAGATTGGAAGGGACCTTGAAAGATCATCTAGTCCAATCCCCCTGCCGGAGCAGGAACACCTACATAATGTTACACAGGAATGTGTCCAGGCGGGTTTTGAATGTCTCCAGGGAAGGAGACTCCACAACCTCCCTGGGCAGCCTGTTCCAGTGTTCCGTCACCCTCACTGAGAGGAAGTTTCTTCTTAAGTTTAAGTGGAACCTCTTTGTACCCATTACCCCTTGTCCTATCATTGTTTGCCACTGAGTAGAGCCTGGCTCCATCGTCGTGACACTCCCCCTTTATATATTTATAGACACTTATAAGGTCACCCCTCAGTCTCCTCTTCTCCAAACTATAGAGACCCAGCTCCCTCAGTCTTTCCTCATAAGGGAGATGCTCCACTCCCCTAATCATCTTCGTTGCCCTGCGCTGGACTCTCTCCAGCAGCTCCCTGTCCTTCTTGAACTGAGGGGCCCAGAACTGGACACAATATTCCAGATGCGGTCTCACCAGGGCAGAGTAGAGGGGAAGGAGGACCTCTCTCGACCTACTAACCAGCCCCCTTCTAATACACCCCAGGATGCCATTGGCCTTCTTAGCCACAAGGGCACAGTGTTGGCTCATGGTCATCCTGTCACCCACTAGGACCCCCAGGTCCCTCTCCCCTACACTGCTCTCTAACAGGTCGTTCCCCAACCTATACTGGAAGCTGGGGTTGTTCCTGCCCAGATGCAGGACTCTACACTTTCCCTTGTTATATTTCATCAAGTTACTCCCTGCCCAACTCTCCAGCCTGTCCAGGTCTCCTTTGGTCGCTTTCAGTTAGGTGTCCTGGCAATGCCCCCTCCCAGGATCTTGCCCATCCTCAGACTATGGGTGAGAGTAGAACATGGGAGAGACAGCAGTGACACTGTGCCAGCACTGCTAAGCAGCAGCCAAAACATTGGTGTGTTATCAACACCTTTCTAGCTGCCATGGAGAAAATTACCTCCCATCTCAGCCAGACTCAACACAGTACTTGTTCACAAAACCAGCAAGTCTTCAACAGGCAGTGCTTCTATGCAACGTATTTTGTTCTGAATACCCAGCCTACCCAGTGCACAACATTGAATGGAAGTGCAGAAAGTACATCATGAATATTTAACCTAAAGTAAAAATTGGAATATTGCTGAATATCCATTGCTCCCTGAAGGAGGGCAAAGTAATCAATTGTGTAAAGAATACCCACTCTAAATGGAATTAAAAAACACCTATAAATGAAAACTACTCTAGTTCATTAGGGTCTCTGGGGCAACAGACTTCTGGGATTACCATACTTCCAAGTAAACCCAAAACTGAGAAACAAACCCAAAACTCTTACAGTTTTGATCTTCACTCAAGCCTTCTGTGTAAAACAGAACACAGGTATTTTTATCTTACTCAGAGTAAGTTTCTCTCTTCCCTTGTAAATCTCCACTCTGACAATGGAAGCAGTACAAAAAATTCAACAGTTTTGATATAAACCCTCATACTTCTATTTAAGACACAATCACCAAATTGACCTCTTTTTTACCTTCATTTCTAGAAGCACCATGAAGCTTCCCTCGCCAGCCTTTGATTTTAGTGAAATCATTTGTCTTTCCTGTCCTCGAAACAAAAGGAAATCCAGTATCTGGAAAAGAAGAAAGGTAGCCTGAGTTTATGAACCAAGCTTGATTGTACCAATATCCTAGCAAACTCTCTTAGTCCTTTTCAGGGACTGACGACGAATGGTAAATCAAAAGCCTGAATAAGCAAACTTTAATAGAATACTTAACAAAGCCAAGCTTCCTGCAGAGTTCTGCTGTATGCCCATGCACCTGCTATCCTACACAGAAGACGTCTTCTCCTGTGGTTTCAGTTTTATTCTCCTTAGCAATGGTGCAAGCAGTTGATTCCAAAACTCGAACAGGTGAATCAGCTCTTCAGAAGGTTAAAATGGAACAGGCGGGTTTTGAACTGACACTACCACCTCTCTCAGCAAGGAAAATAATTTGAGTCTCTCCCCTCAAATGAGCCATTGACTTTTGCAAAATCTGTAGAAACTTCATTTAATGTTTGCTGTTCTGTCAGATTCAGATGAGTATCAATTAGGGGCAGAGACAGGGAACAATCACAAAAGATGAACAGCAACATCCCTGCCAAGCTAGCCATCAGCTCTGGAAACTAAGCTAGAACGTAAATATACTAACAGGGACCTGTGTGGCTGTTTTACATATTGCCAGCCTAGAAATAACTGCATTTGACACTGAGCTGATTGAGGTCTTCTGAATTGAATCTGCCTCTTCTGCAGTGAAAAAAAGCTGAGATACATCTGCTTCCTTACCATCTCCTAAAAGCACCAGAATAAGGAAGACACAGAATATTAAAGTAGGAGAAAGAGGTAAGTAGGAGGATAAGCACCCCTATACCTTGTCCAACCAGTTTATTACTAAAAACAATACTGACCAACAGCATTAGAATCATAGTCACAGTACAACGAGACTGTTTGGATACAGAGTAAGTTTAAAACGCACAACTGGTCAGCACTTCTGGAATAAATAACGATGATGAAGTTGCATATTAGCCCCCAAGTGCTGCCTCAAGCTTTTTTTCTGTAAAGTTCTCATACTCATCAGGGCTCTCTGTAAGACAGCTTTTTTTTTTTTGCTTGGCATGTGAGCAATAGAGAGATGTAGAATGCTTAAACTTTTCCTGAGCAATTTGAGAGTAGTTGATGTGTATGATGTGTATATTCGCACTTAGAAAATGCAGGTCAAGTAGACAAAACGTACCAGAACTAGACTGATACCATTACTGGATCACAACCATCAGAAAAAGAGAAGGCTGAAGACAGCCTGGCCAGAATTACTCAGGATTCCTTGGCCAGGAACCACATGATGATTTAAGGAAGTTTCCCCATTTTATTACGTTAATACTGCTTCAGTTGCTTTAAGATGCCACATTCAAGTAAATGGTCATTCCCTCCTTCTGATTATTGATGATAAAAAAGTAATGCTTTCAACAAGTAAGATTACAACAAATTCTTATTCAACCCACCTGGAGAATTGGGATTGGTTCCTGGATAGCTCCACAAGGAGTAATTTGAGTAGGAAAGGGGAAGCTGCACACCCAAGTATTTCAAGTCAATGCTCACTGTTGGGTCCACAGAATTCAGCTTCAGTCCCACTAAAAGAAGCAAGTATCAGTCAATGTCTCAATGTACCAAGACACTGGTAAAAACAAAGTCAAGATACTTACTAAAAAGGAAACCATTAAGTTATACGCAGGTTTTTCTAGCATTCACCCACCATTTTAAGAGACCTGACAAACAGCATTAGCAACTGTAACTGTTACTTATGCTGGATTTGCAGCAAGTATGAGTTATTTAATGAATATTTTTAAGAAAATTTTAAAGAATATTTTAGGGAATGGGAAAAAATCAAGAAAAAAATTTAATTACTTTTCAGTTTTCTTGATTACTATGGAAGTTTCCACAGAAATTTCTTAACCAAAGTGCCAGTGTTGTCATAGTTCTCATGATCAAAGTTTGTGTCTGTTCCTTTTTGGAAGTGAGCACTACTTAAAATCCTTAAAGGCCAGAGTCACTGCCTGAACCCAACTCAGCTGATTATTGGTATTACGTATTGCTACATAAATCATCAATCCTGCCAGTGGTACTTGCACATCCCCTTCTCTATGGAAAGCTATTCTTGTGAAAGAACGTACACCACACGCATCAGTTTCAACCAGTAATGAGACAAGAGCAAACCACTTTTTAGTTCTGAAATGTGTGTGTTTGGGAACTCTGATATAAATAAAACTGTATTGAGAGCACTCTCAGGACTAGCTCATCAAATCCAGATTTCAGCAGGTTATGTTTTTTCCAAGCTTGGCATTTTGCAATAAGACTTCTTTTTTTGTCTTTTGAAGCAAGAGGGAAAAGTGCCCATATGGAAATTAACCAATAGGCGTTGTTAATGTCACCACCTGCCTATAACACCTTCCTCCATCAACTCCCCAAAAATACTCATATAGAAAGACTTTACTTGACCACAAACGCTACCTTTTTCCATGACAAAACAAATACAGATACAGAAATGCTGAAGGGAAAAAAGCCAGGACCTTAGTACCTCTTCTGGAAAATATTGCTACACTGAGTTCAAGAAATAACTGTTATCAATCAAATTCAGCTTGCAGTCTGGAGCTGAGAACATTTATTTTGGTTGTTAGCTATAGAAGCCTACTGCTAAGTGCTCCTGCTGCCAACAAGTCTGAAATTCATTTATTAAATATGCGAGTTTTGAAATTGAAGATGTATGACAAGGCTCAGGTCACATAAAGCAGCATTTGCACATACAGCAGAAATCTTGTGTTGGTGGTACACATTTGTATTCCTAAGTGGCAACACAGTGACCTGATTACTGGCAGCCTGAAAACAATCGACATGGAACAAATCTCCAAGATGGGTGTTTAAACAGAGCCTGTTATCAAAGACAGTCTAGTGAGATGTAATTTTCAAATCTACACAGGCAAAATGAGCAGCAAGCCAAGTCAGTCTAGCATCTTGTATAAAAACATGTCAACTGCTAAATGTCAAGATGTCATCCATTTCTTTTCAAACGCTATTTAAAATGGGAAGAGTACAGTTTGTTTTTCTTGACACTCCCTTTGAATTATTCTATCATCTCCAAAACCAAGCCTTGCTTTGTTTAATACTCAAACCAAAATAAGAACATCACCCATACACAGTATCTATTCTTTCAGTTTCAGATCACGAAGTAAAAAACACTCAGACATAAAGTAAGAGGATGCAACATGGAATGAATGCAGACAGCCTATAGAGAACAAAAAGTAAGAGCAAGTACTGTGTCAGTAGAGACATCACCATATATGACAGGCGAATTATCACTTCTATTAATGTCTAACATTCTAGAGTATTGCTAAATTTCAGTTGCTGTAATCTAATAGTAGCAAATGAAGAACCTTAAGAACTTTCTCCTCTCCACCAGATGCAGCTGCCAAATCTGAAATATGATGTGACAACAGTGTCTTTGAATATGATAAGGGATTCAAATTAGCTCAGACAGAAGAGACATCCCATAGCATTGCAGTACTTCAGTAGGAGCCTTCCCTCTAACATGCTCAAGTTGAATTCCCTTCTTTCTGAAGCATTTTCTTCCTGCAGTGCTGGTTCCTCCAAGATCTAGATAGCCCTAATCACCATGTCCTTAATGTCACAAATGAACTGCAACTGTGAGGTTCAGGTACAGCTCCAACACATCTCCAAAATGAAATTTACGCTTCTCAACTACACTGTCCAAAACCAAAACCAGAGTTAACATCAGTCAGAATTGCTATGTCCATTTCCCATACTGCCGTGAGGACAAGAAAGCCAGAAAGCTTCTACAGAATGGCTGAAAGCACATTTAGAAACATGCACTTCCCATCTTTCAGACAGAAGGGAGCCATATCCCTTTGCCTGCTCTGTAGCAGATGACAAGGTGGTTTTATTAGTCATCATCTGTGGCCAAGAAACTTTGGAGAACAAGTATCAGAATCAAGAAGGCTAATAAGGCTGCACCAAGCTCCAGGATGCTACTTAGTACGTCCGGAGAAAGATACAGCCCTTAAGTGTGACCTTGAGGTACTCTCCAGCCACCTTCTTATGTCTTATTGATGGTATCTCCATTACCATCATTATGTTCCTTCACCAACCTCTATTCTACAATGGATCTTTAACTTTTTGCAAGCTGAAGGTAAACTGAATAAAGAGTCCAGTTTACATGCAGCAGCTGAAGTGTAACAACACACACACACACACGTATGTTGTAATTCACAGCCTAATCTAATTACACCTGTATCTTATCTGTAGTAACACTCTTGCTGCAAATAGTTTTCACATAACTTCACTCTAAGAATAAATAAGACAGGTGAGGGTCATTCTCTTCATTGCTGAAATATGATTTCACCATTAAACAGGATCAGCAGATTACCATCCAACACTGGAAATGACAGTCACAAGTGTTCAAGAAAGTCAAAATTCTTCAGACCTCTTCCTTAGCCTGATGCTTGACTTTTTCTTCTCCATTTTGTAGTATCTGTGAAGTCCTCAATACCCCTCAGAAGGTACCACACACACTTCACCACCCCTTATTTAGAAGCTGGAGGAAAAGCACATGGGTTTTACATGTTCCCTGTTGCAGGATTCTCTCATGAGTAAAACAGCCCTTGCTGTGGTGGGGTGATGGCTGACAATATACCTTAATTTCTTATTACTTTTCTTGGGTAAAGACATTATCTAGGAGGCCCACAATACAAACCAAAAAAGCCTTAACATGGCTGCAACATTTGGTCGGTGCTGTATCTAGCACTGCCAGCAGCTAACCAGAAAGGAGATTTTACCACAGTTTTTGGAAACATGGTGCTAATGCAATGTATGACAACATGTGCAGACCTGTGAGGGCAGGTTGGCTAGAGGGGTCATTAGAAAACAGGGCTGCCTATTTCCGGAATCATGGGAGAGGAAAACTGCATTTACACATCCACAATACCACTCAGGTACAACCTGGCTGGGGATGGGTTTCACTGCCACCACAGCTAGGACAGAGCTCCAAGAGTTCTCTACTACCTTTCTTACGACCATTCTGCAAAGGAGGAAGACAGGAATGTCAGCTCAACACTAGCAAGACACAAAGGCATCCCTTTAAATGTCTGCAAAAGACGACAGGCTAGTTCGCATCATACCACGTGTATAAAACATTCTGGATTCAGGATAATCCAGGCCTCTTCCCAGCAGAAACTCTGCAAGGACCCAAAATAACTCGTATCAGAGCAAAAATCTTTGGAGTCTCAATTGGTTATTTGGAGTCTCAATCCCTACAGTTAGATGCTTGAAAAATTCAGGGCCAGGACCTCAAGAGCATGAGGTGCAACACTGCCATTCAGATCACTGCCTTCATTATCTGCCCCAAAGCCTATATTAATGCCACTGGTCTCAGGACTACTATTGCTGACGTCTTTCAATATCATCAGTAGAGAGAAGATTAAGTTCTGCTATGCTGATATGACCTCCTTCCATCTGACCTCAGGATAATACTGTATATAAACACAAGATCACATGCTTGCTTGGACCTCTTATGTGACTAGTGAACTGGATCATAGAATCATAGAATAGTTAGGGCTGGAAAGGACCTCAGCATCATCTAGTTCCACACCCCCTGCCATGGGCAGGGACACCTCACACTAAACCATGTCACCCAAGACTCTGTCCAACCTGGCCTTGAACGCTGCTAAGGATGAAGCATTCACAACTTCCTTGGGCAACCCGTTCCAGTGCCTCACCACCCTTACAGTAAAGAACTTCTTCCTTTTATCTAAGCTGAACTTCCCCTGTTTAAGTCTGAACCCATTACCCCTTGTCCTATCACTACAGTCCCCAACAAAGATCTACAGTGACTCACAAAAATACAGATTCAAACATAGCAAATGCAGTCTTAGTTAAGTGTTTCTGGATCTCCAGCACCTCTACTACCATGAAATGGCTATTTTCTATGGGTGAGTAAAATCAACTCCATCTGCTCTCTACAAGGATTAGCTCATTACAGAACAGGCAGTCTGAAGGCTCAGCATCTTCTGCAAGAGGCATATAACGACATGCAGCGGCTTTCTCTGCTGCTGGAGATTCAGGAGTCATTTTCTGCCTCTGTTACCCCTTCCAGTTTTCAACATGAATGTGTGAAAACAAGAACATCTTTACTGGCTGGTAGAAACTACTTTTAAAGCCTCTACATAAAACAAAATGGGTCAGGCACCACAGATTTTCTCTCACTGCCACAAATGACAAGAGGGATACTTCACAAACTTCCTTTCTTACTCTCACATTTGTACGTGCACACCTCTACGCTTTCCTGTGTTTGAAACTAAACCCAGATCCCAGCTGTATTGAACATAAACAGCATTACATCCAGTAGGAAAATACCAACTCAGTATGATTAAGTATACTATACAAGGAGGGGCAACAATATGTACACTGCCCACTTACCTTCCTGAAGGCTAGGATGTATTACTTGCTTATGCCTCAATGTCTTCAGTTCTTCCATCAATTCCTTTTCTAGTACCTGTATTCTTGCTTGACAATCTACTCAAAAGTTCAAAAAGAAAGAATATACAAAAAAAATTACTGTGCCAAAAAACTGACTAAAAATATTAATTTTCCAGTGTGTTTTTACAAATTCCGTTATTGCAGAGAATAGCCACTTACAAGAAAACCCACAAAAATGTACCTGGATCATTTGTAGTCAACAAGGGAGCCTGAAGATTCCGTGACTCTTCTCCTCCTCCAGCTTTATCAACAGTGTGAATGTCAAGAGCTTCCTACATACATGAAGAGCCTTAAGTACAAGATACTTAAACACTGACTTAGATACAAACTAAGCCACATCAAAACATCACCAACGTATTCAAAACACGAGATTACTTAACAAACAAGTATGCATTCTTCTATAAAGACCTCCAGATCCCACTATTTCTCCCCAAGCTGCTACGTTAGAAAATGTTATGATTAATACAGGGACAGGATAAGAACAGATTTGGAAAGATGCCATAAATCTCAAAACTCAGTTTAAAATAAAATACACCTTCAGCTGGAAGTATGAAGGACTTAATGAGACATTCTAAAAGGTTTTGTATCTTACTCAGAACAGCTAGGTTTTACCTTTGATGCAAAGGACACAAAGAGGACTCCATCAACATCTTCAAGGTCTGGCTTAACATCTGGAAGGATATTCCCAGACCCCAGTGAGGCGTTCTTGCTCGTTATTACAGCTTTCCCTATACCTTTAGGTGGTCGACCAGCCTTGGAAATTCTCAGTTTCCGTGGCCTTCCTCTTTTAGTTGTAACTGATGAGAGGGTGTTCTGATTGCTACCAGAGCCTCTCAGGGACAGAGGGTTCTTCAGTATGCCAGACCTTTTTCTTCCACAGATCTCTTTAGCTGAGAATTGACAACTTACAGAGCCCCTGAGGTTAAAATTAGGTGATTTAGATAGAGCCCACTGGGCCTCTCTGACTGAAGAGTATTTCTGTGACACTTTATTTCCAGAAGACTGTTTTTTCATAACTAACTCCTCAGTAACAGTGTCTGTGCCTGAGCAAGAGCCTTTGTGATTTTCAAAGCACATAGGCAAGGGATCCGACATTGCACTAAAAGGGGATTTATCCTTCTTGCAAGAGGAAAGCATGGTCTGTGGCAGCTCAGATATCTTCACTGTGCTCTTTGTGACTGCACAAGGTTCCAAATAGACCACAGGCATCTTCCCACTATCCAATTTTAACATTTTTGCTTTGGCAACACCTGAAGGACTGTTTAATACGCGCTTCCTAGACCTGAATTCTTCATCTGTTCCATCTGTTTCACCACGTCTCATAAGGTGTTTTTGTAGGATGGGATCATCATCATCAGTGTTGGAATACTCATCCGTTTCTTCATCTGTGTCTTCCTGTTTCACACTTACTCCTTGTGTGCAAATACCCGACTCGTAGTCATAGTCATCTATTGGTTCCTCTTTAATGACTACATTAAAGTGTCCGTTTGGGTCCAACGGGGATGCCACACGGGAACTGCTTTCGTAACTGCTCGCAACAGGACTGGAGTGGGAAGGAGGGGACAAAAACAAAACACAAGATCTTTATCAAATGCCTTCCTTTACCCAAACTCATCTCCCACAGTCCGTGGTTACATATTGCAAAAATAAAAAGCCAAAATGCTCCAAAATATGTGTCTGCTAAATAAACTGTTGTTTACAAGGTTATATTTTTATAAGTGCTCCAAAAAAAGAAATTGCCATCATTAAAACCAGTCCAACTCCTATCTGCAGGCAGCAGCACAATTTCCTTCCCTAGGAATATCAGGGCAACACTTGCACTTCCTCCTATTTGAGACTCGGCGTGAATTTATGCTAAGCTATCATGTTTTAAGCACTCAGAAGAGGCCTTAGTTTGCTGTGTATCCCATACTGAAGCCACTGTGCTTGCAAATAATAAACCAAGTGCTTTATGCTCTTCAGTTTACAAGATTTCACTAAAATTCTAGTTAATTCATCCTGAAGCCACATACAGACAACTCCTAAGCTCAACTGTTGTTTAAACTTTCACAGAATGTTAATATCCTATTGAATTATGCTCCATCTTACATCCAGCACTAAACTAAGCAGAATTTGATATACCATGCATTAGATACTGAAGACTAACAGTGCAGCCAGTTGCACTCCACTGATGGGCTTCTTTGAGGGACAGACACAACAGTGAAAAGACTGCAGTCAGGAGTTTTGTTAAGGGCATCTCAGAAGCTGGCTCTCTGTCACAACAGGAAGCAGCTAAGGTATGAAACCAGAAACTTGTACCCATAATGAACCTGTATCGGGTTTGCTTGGTAAGGATTTGGTAGTGGGGCAGGTTCTACAGGGGTGGCTTCTGTGAGAAGCTGCTAGAAGCTTCCACTATGCCCAACAGAGCCAATGCCAGCCAGCTCCAAGACAGACCTGCTGCTGGCCAAGGCAGAGCTCATCACCAATGGTGGTAACACCTCTGTGATAATGCATTTAAGAAGGGAAAAAGCTACTGCACAACAGCAATTGCAACCAGAAAGAGTGAGACTATGCTGGAGAAACAGCTCTGCAGACATCAAGGTCAACAAAGAAGTAGGAAAGAAGGTGCTCCAGAGCAGATTCCCCTGCAACCAAGGGAGGATCCTATGACAGAGCAGGGGGATGCCCAAAGGAGGCGGTGACCCCACAGGGAACCCACGCTGGAGCAGTCTGTTCCTGAAGGGCTGCAACCAGTGGAAGGAACCCATGCTGGAGCAGGCCGTTCCTGAAGGACTGCACCCCATGGGAGGGACCCATCCTGGAGCAAGTCTGCTCCTGAAGGACTGCACCCTGTCAAGGGGACCCACACTGGAGCAGTTTGTGAAGAACTGCAGCCCCTGGGAAGGACCCACACAAGAGAAGTCTGTGAAAGACTGTCTCCCATGGGAGGGACTCCATGCTGGAGCAATGGAAGAGTGTGAAGAGTCCTCCCCTGAGGAGGAAAGAGCAGCAGAGACAACGTGATGGATGAACTGACTACAACCCCCATTCCTAGCACTGCTGGAAGGGAGGAGGTAAAGAATTAGGGAGTAAAGCTAAGCCGAGGAAGGGAGGAGTGGGAGGAGGACTACTGTGATTTGGTTGGTAATAAATTAAACTAATTTCCCAAAGTTAAGTCTATTTGGCTCACAACACTAATCAGTGACTGAACTCTCCTTGTCCTTATCTGAACCCAGGAGCTTTCTCTCTCCCCTGTCCAGCTGAGGAGGAGGAGTGACCAAGCAGCTTTAGTGGGCACAGGGTGTCCAGCCAGGGTCAACCCATGAGAGAACCTCATCAAACAACAGTCAGTACTTATTTACTAAACATATCGGACAGTATTCCAATACTCCCTTTACAGAAATGTATTTTTAATGAGACAATATATATCATTTTAATGATGTTAAATTATTATCCAAACTGTTAATCTTATTTTAGTAAAAATAACAATATTTGTTAATGGTAGTTAATAATAACAATTTCAAATATAACTACATAATTGTAATAACAATGTATTATCTATAAAAGGAATAGACTAAGAAACTTGGGGCTGTTCAGCCTGGAGATGAGAAGGCTGTGTGGAGACCTCATAGCAGCCTTCAGTATCTGAAGGGGCCTACTAGGATGCCAGAGAGGGACTGTAGTGACAGGACAAGGGATAATGGGTTCAAACTGAAACAGGGGAAGTTCAGGTCAGATATAAAGTCAATTGCCTTCCTCTTCCAAAAGGAAGGCAAGGAGGAAAGAAAAGCAAACTCACACTAAACACAAGACAACCAAATTAGAAAAACAAAACTACTGGAGCATTAAGAACCCCACAGTATCTGTACTGCTGAAGTAGGAAATTCAAAAGACCTTGGAAGGGAGAAAGGGCACACATCAGCCTGCAAGACTTAAGAACCAGTGAAATTTCCTTATGGTTCCCTCCATGGCCCCAACATCTGAGTGTTCCAGGCATAACCATTTGTATAGAAGCATTCACAACTCAAACATTTCTTTTCTTTACAAGACATCTGATGAAACTGAATATACTACCAGGCCATAGGGAAAACAAACAAAAGACCAACCAACCAACCACACTACCTTGTATAAAGAAAATAGCCCTTTCTTTCCAAAGTGTGCTCCTAACTCAAGATTAGAATTATTCTCAGGTATACACAAATTTTACATAGTTTCATTCTCAAAAGTGTCAGAAAAAATGAGCACTGGGGGCAATACCACATGCTAGGAACTCCAGTACCTTTAGTGAGCGTTATCTGGGAGGCAACAGCTCCCACCTTCTGACACTCACCCAAATCTAAACTCCGCAGAAATCACTACCCTGCATGGAAGCGAGACAGTGCCTATCGACTAACAGCAATAGCTTGCCTACGACAAAAAACTGCTCAGTCTTCATTAATATGCAAGTATTAATGTGTCTGGTTTCATAAAGAAAAATGCCACTCACTCAACACAGCCCTTGAAAGGCTGACATGTTTGTGAATGGATCTCAGCTGCATGGCATGAAAACATTGTGAACAGATATGAAGGAAAAAGGAGAACTGATGCTCTGAAGACCCCCAGCACGTACAGAGACAGTTCTGTTTCTTGGATGAGATCAATTTTTCTCCTTCCAAGTACAGAATCTGACTGCCACAGATTACAAAACCATAAAACAAAAAGCTGGGCGATGCTTGAAGAGAGTTCCAGCACGGTGGTAACATTTATTCATCAAATGATAGATGCTTCCAAGCCAAGAACAGAGAAAAGCCCTTTATAATCTCTCGTCTGTGCAACTTTTAGCACGTTTCAGAGATAAACTGTATTGGATGTGAAACCAGGGAATGTATCTAACATGCTCTGGACCAGAAGAAATTAAGTTTGCCAATTTGTATCATCTGTTCTTGAGTCCTTAAAACCATCGGGTTTACTCCTTGGGAACGAAGGGAACCAAAAAACCCCCAGGCTGTGCAATTCAAACAGCTGTGCAAATAATTTGCTACAATGACCCTCTTCAGGCAAACAGAATTATCAAAATATTATTTTTTTCAACTGCGGATGACCCCAAAGAAATAATCAAAATATCACTTTGAAGAGAAAATAAACCTTTCAGTAATTATTTGCAGAGTTTTACTGGTTTAATTCCAATATGCACAGTTATCTAATCACTTTTCCATGCTGGATTTTTAGGAACTCAGGAAAGCCCATCCTCTCTAAAATCAGTGTACTTTCAGTCTTCAAGGTGGGTTTCTCTTGAATTTACAATGTGTTTGGAAGATGTGAGAGGTGTAGAGGATGTTCTTCTACCTAATACAGTGACACTGGAAAATACTGCAAAAGAGAGGTGAGGCTACTCTAGATCCCAAAACAACTCTAGTATTCTTAAGAATTATTACAACTCTACTCAATGAAGTCTTGAAGAATAGAGGACTTTGAAGTTTTTCAGTTACACAAAAGGCAAGGAGATACTTCCTGCAAGGAGAAAAGCCATTGAGCAGCCCTCTTTAAAACACACTGAAGTAGTATAGCAATACAGCCTTAGAAACAAATTGGATAATTGTATCTTTTTTCTTCCAAGTATTGACCTCTAATTACACCATTAACATCGTCCTGATATCCTGCAGGTGAATAATTCCTTGGTGTACTGATCTACATAATGCTGCTTTTGTCACTAAATCTTTGGCAGATTAAGCCTGGTACTTACAGGCAGAATGAAGAAACATGGCAGCAGAGAAACCTCTTCAAAAAAACCCACTTCTTCATGTTCAGGTTCAAAGTATTTCTAAGCATCTCTTGACACAGATTTATTATTTACTAGATTTGCTCTATTTCATTGCTTAGATTTTGGAAGCCAAGCGAAAGTAGAGTAAAATAATAGGTTCTGCCGAGCTTGTTTTACCTGCACAAACACTTACAGCTAGCAGGTTCCACGCTACAGGTAGACTCCCAATATACACTTAGATTGCTTTACTACTGTTTATGTGATATGAACAGAATGGTTCAAAAAGACACTACTGTATAAGTACACAGACCTAAAATCACCACAGAGCAAATTATGGTGTGAAGAGTGTAACAGTTATTCTGAAGTACTTCCCTATGGTGCAGATTCTCTTACCTCAGAGCAAACATGAGGCAACCGACTACCAACAGGCAGGCTACCTCATGCTGCTTTGTGGAATAAATTCCCACAAGCAGTTATTGAAAAAACAGTGGTGTGCTGCCAGTTACAAGTGCCTTGTAGCAATCCCTGCACACACCCAACCTAAATACCCATACACACTACACATCCCCACCAGCCTCTAATGAGAAACAAAGACATGGAGGCAGCATGCTGCTGTGGTAAGCAATCCTAAAAAGAACAACGTTTTCACAGAATCATAGACAGGTTTGGGTTGGAAAGGACCTTAAGGACCATATAGTTCCAACCTTCTGCCATGGAGAGAGACTCCTTTGTCTAGACTATGTTGCTCCAAGCCCCATCCAACCCAGCCTTGAACACTGACAGGAATGGGGCAGCCACAGCTTCTCTGGACAACCTTTGCCAGTCTCACCACACTCACAGTAAAAAGTTCTGATGACTACAATGTGCTGTTTGCAACTCTGAAAAATTAGTCTTCTAAAATGTTAAGAGGGTTAAGAGAAATCCCTCAACACTGCTCTACAAAGGGAGTTAGAGCAACACAGGAAAAAATACCAAACTTTTCTTCTCCTCAGACACATTAGAAAGTCCAGACTGACAGAAGACTTCAAGCTAAGAAAAGCTTTTAATACTAAGTGTTCTGCCATTTCAAGTCAGGCAACCTTTGCAAATCTGTATACTAAGCATCTTGTTATTTAGTGTCTCCCCACATATCCCACTCAACCAGTACTTGTGCTAAAAAAAGAATGTTAACCCACCTTTCAGAGACCTCTTGTTTTAGCTTTGGCATATCACCTGAAGACAGGTCAGTATCCAGGAAACCCAGGAAGTCCCTTTCTGCATTAAAGGAATCTTTGTCCATGTCAGTGTCTGATGAGTTTTGACCAATGAATGAAGCATCTAAATTTCTCTGATGCAAATCTAATGCACCAACTTCAGACGGACGACCACGAATGCCAGCAGCACTAAAAACATCACCTCCTTCCAAGTCCAAGTTACTGTTTTGTTTCATATCACGCTGAGGTCGACTATTCAACCCATCATCTCTGAATCCTTTAGCAAAAGGATTGTAATCTATTTTCAGCTGGGTAATCTGGATGTTCTGGTAGGCAGTAACTGCAAAGAACTCTGTCTGTGGAAAGGTAAATGTATGGACACCTGGGCCATTGAGCTGAATGACTTCTGTGGCTTTGTCTGCAGGCACCAAGTGAAGTCGTGGCAGATAGCGGTGCATAGAATGCAAGATTATATGACCCTCCTGGTCCAGGGTATTGTTGGTAAGTTTGAGTTTGTAGAATGATACTGGCTGGTGCATCCAGTACTGGCCAGTGGAAGGGGATTCTGGATGAATAAACACTCTTCCAAGAACATGGGGTTCTGCCTTCCCACTGGGCTCCCACCAACGGCCATTCCATTTGTATCGGTGATTGTCCACAGGGGATATGTCCATGACTAGGATGTACTTCTGGCTGACATCCAGACCTGTAATCCAGTATCGGCAGTACGGGAACATGCGCCTCCCCTGCTTCGTCAGGATCATCTCTGTGTTACGATGGTAAAACTCATTCCACATGCTGTTGTTATCTAGGGTGACAGTAATGCCCCCTGAGACACAGTCAGCTGGGAGACAGGTCTTGACTTTGGGTTTTATTGGAGCAGATACACTGCTGGCAAGAGCACAAGCATCACGATTTGCTACTAGGATTCCTTGGTCAGCTTTACCATTTCCCTGCTGTTGTTTCAGGATGACAAAAAAAGCAGGTGCTGCACCAGACACAGTCCCACTGTCCTGGCTACCCAGGACAAGCTGCTGTTTCTCCATGATGAGTACTCTTACAAGCTCTCAAATCGAATGCAAATTCTACACAGTTCTGATAGCCTTCTATGGGTGTTCACCATTCTGGAAAAAAAAGGAAAACCCAGTGAAAAGTTATTCAAATACAGTCTGAGTAATTAAGTCTCATGAGAAATCCTTTGTGCAACACTTCCCCACATCAAAAACTTAAAAGATAACAAGTACTATAGAGTGCAATTAGGAAGAAGCATCAAATCCAGGTTGCCTGTGTGTATATAAATTAGGCCTTATAGACATGAGGGCTATGACACCTTTAAACTGCATTTTCTTAGAATGCTTTGCCACAAGAGAACTCCTTACTTTGCTCGATATTTCAAAGTGCTTTGTTCTGGTATTGGCCCAACTCTTCAGATCATTTTCTTAACAGCATTTGGCAAAAGGTGCAGAAGTTTTCAGAAGGACAAATGGCACATCTCTGACAGAAAGGCAGATATCACTTGCTCTGACCAGAAAGAAATAGCTCCCAGAGGTCCAAAACTTCTCACAAATGAGAAAGGGGAAAGAAAGGGAAAAGAAAATGTTAAATAAAATTCACATTTTCACCAAATATCTTTACTAAAGAAGACTAAGTTTGTGGGGTTGGGATTTCTTTGTTCCTACCAACCCCAGTCCCAGGAACTTCTAAATATCTGTATAAGGCAGAAACAAAAAACAGGAGGAAAAAAAAACCTGAAAAAACAGTTTAAGGGTAAGCTTTGGGAAAAAAATTAGACTAACCCCTCAAAATGCAATGCAGCTAAGATTAAATGGATGCATGTAAAGCACAAGGCAAAACCTTAGCTACTTCTACCTTCTAATTCATGGAAATAATTTAATCAAACAAGAAAACATTTGTAGCGTTAATGATTAGCCCCATCACCAGTTAGGGAACTAAAAAAGAGGGTTACCTTTACCTCATATATACCATTGACTTTTGTGTATCTACCTCACAGGCTAAATATTACATCACCACTAACTAAAACTTCTGAACGCCATTCCCCCTTTCAGATGTCTGCATGTTGTCCCATATTGTATATGGAATTAAATACACGTTGACGGTATCAATGTTTAGCTGGTGAGAACCAGGGACAGGAGTGAATCACCATCAACAGGAGTTAACTGCTTGAGAACAACTGTATTTCTTTACAAAGAATTAAGTCAAATTCCCAAGTTTTAACTGAACTGGGTATTTAAAAAGACACATTTATGATGCTAGGACTGGGGCACTGCTGGAGGAAACACTGTGCAAGCCAGCTGCCAAATGCATGTGGGAAATTACTTCAAAGCTCAGGAGGCAGGCAATTTATACTCCATGATAAATGTTTTTGACACCTAGAAAATATCTGCTTCCAACCTTTAAACTTTGCACTTTAAAACGTTATGCAAGAGTTAAACTGGAGGGAAAAACCCCAAAACTGTTCTGTACAGGCTCTGAGACCTGCGGAGTAACAAGATCTGGTTTTCACTTTTCCTTTAAGGATGAAACACTTTCCCCACAAACACACCCACAACCACCCAAGGCAGAGCCTAGAGCACGAAATTCATTAGCTGTTAAAATAGAAAATATGAGGCTGCTTTTGAAGAACGATGCCCTTTTTCAATTGATCACATCTTAAGTGCCAGCAACACGAAAAGCTACCCCCCCGAAAAGCTTTTTCACCTTCATCTATAAAAACACAACAGAAATATAAATCAAACAGATGGAGTGGGGAGAAAGAAATGACATCCTAAGTTGTATGTGATTTCCCACCAACTTACCCTCTCGCACATTTAGAGGTATATTAAACATACAATCATAAAGTGAGTTCACACCAGTGCTGTGCAATACACATCAAAACTGTATTAGCTCATGAAGGAAATACACTATCAAACTGGTTTTAAATCTGGATTAAGATCTGCAGATCACCTGCAACTTTAAATTTACCTGAGGTAGTTCCTACACATGCCAGAAATAAATACAAAAAAGCTCAACACCATCCACTCAGCAAAAACTCTATGCACAGAAAGGGTGACTGAGTCACAATTTCTGTTTTCCAACGTCTAAAGTTGGAAACATTGCACCACTGTAGTTATTTCTACCATAAGCCCCGCTCACAGCATCTAGTCAAACACGCATGTGGTTACAATGTGATCACGTGCAATTACAATAGCCAAAAGCTACGTTATTTCAGCACTGACATGGGCTATTACAAGAACAATTTCACACATTTTATTACACCTGGTCATACACACAAATCTACTTTGTTGCAGCACGGAGTTTCTAATCCACTGTTTCAAGGAAAACGTGTGTAGTTGTAGAAATTAAGATTTAATCTGCTTCATATATATCCCTTTTCTCTACTCATATGCAGACCTTATACTCGAGGAGCAACATCTAACTAGGCAGCAGTGGCCAAAAAAACTCGAAAGTTGAACTGAGATGTGCTAAAAGCAGGAAGATAATCAGATGCGGGAAAATCTATTTCCGAAGCCGAAAACAAGACCCAAACAAGCAGAAACCCCGAAGCCTCCAAGCTGCAACGGAGACCACGATTCCTGCACACAGCGCTCACAGGAGGAGCCCCGCAACCGCCGCGTTGCCGACGGGAGCCCGGGGCCGGATCCAATGGCAGCGAGCGCTGAACGCGCGGCGCTGCCGTTCAACACCGCGGCAGCGGTGCTGTACCGCCCGCCCGGGCACCCGGGGCGCCGTGCCCGATGCAGCGAGCGCCCCTCCCGGGCCAGGTGGCGTCACGGCCGCGGGCCGAGCAGCGCACTTGTCGCTTGCAGCGCCCTCCCCCCGCCCTGCCGCCACCGCCGGACGGCCCCCAGCCGGAAGCCTCGGGACGGGGGGAGGGCGACCGCTAAGGCCTTTCCGGGAGAGGCGGGGGCTGGAACCAGCGCCGGCTGGTGGAGGCGGAGGGCAGCGGGGCCGGCGCACGTGGGGAAACCGCCGCGCCGCTCTTCGCCGGAGCCCGGCGCGGCCCCGCCGCTGGCGAGGCGGCCCCGAGGCGGCGCGTCGCGTCGCGTCCGTGGAGCGGCCCCGCGGGCCCGGGCCCGTGGCCTCGTGGCTGCGGCGGGTGTTAATTTTCGCAGTTGGGGAAGCGGGCGGGAGGCGCGGGGGGAGCGGCGCGGAGCCCGCGGGCGGGCCCGGGAGGAGGCGCGGCAGCGCTCTGCGGTCGTTACCGTGCGGCGGGGCGAGGCGCGGGGCCCTCCCGCTTCCGTCCTCCTCACGCGGACCGTGTGTCCGCCAGCTGGGGACAACGTGCGTGCGCGCCGCGCTGACGTCACCGCGCCGCAGCGCGCGCAGGCGCGCCACCAGCTCGCGCCCCCCTCCCTCCCGCCTGCCCGTCACGTGCCCGCGCCGAGCGCGGGGTCCGGCGCCCGGGGCCGCAGGGCGCAGCGCGCGGGGAAGGTTCTGGAACGGGCGCGCACCGCTACGGCACCGGCCGCCGCCACCGCCTTCGAGGCCACGCGGGGCTCCGAGCGACAGCGCCGCCGCCGCGGGCCCGCTTCAGGCCCCGGTTTGGCCGGTGGCGGGGACGCCTCCCGCGCTGGCGCACGACGGCCGGGGGGGCGGGGCGGCGCCGGCGGGATGCGACACCGGCGGCTGCCTGGGCTGAGCAGGGTCGGCGAGCGCCGCACCGCGCCATGGGGCGATGCGGGGAGGGCACCGCCAGCCCCGGCGCGGAGCTGCCGCCTCCCTCGCCGCTTCCTCTTCCGCAAGGACAACGCGTGCCACACACGGTCTCTGGGCAGAGCTGGCGCCGGGCCGGGAACGCGGGTGCCTGCACCCCCTCGTCCCGAGGGAAGCGTCAGCCGGGAGCAACATCAGCCCGCATCCCTCTGAGCGAGGTTGCACTGACCTGACATAATTCGTCCCTATGCCACCAAAGCCGCACAAGTGCCCCTCACCTCTGGGAGCCAACATGATGTCACCGTGCCCCTGACAGACCTGGCATCCTGGGTGAGGTTTGGCAAACTGGGTAACAAATCAACCCTGGCCTAGCAGTGACTAGGCATAACCTCAGGAGCCTTCCCTGCCTCAGCACCCGGCCCAGCAGCGCGCCGTGCACAGCCCTTCACACGCATCAAGGAAGTCATGCAAACCAGGCATAAGCCCGCTGAAACAAGAGTTCTGAGTGTCAAGGGAACAAACACCAAACAAAGCGCGGCTGGAAGTGAACACCTCAATGGCGCCCCCAAGCCTCCTTTTTCCGTTAAAGACATTTATTCTACAACACTAGATCCGTTACAAAGGACAGTACCAGAGCCAAGGCATCAGCATCAATAAGCTGCCACCAAAGCCCAGGGTCACCTACAGACCACAGTCTGGCACACGGTGACACCTACTACAAACTGCTTTGCAGCTGAATCGACACCTCAAGTCACACTTTTGTTCTTGGTTTGACTATTTTCTGAATCCTAAAAGCAACATCACAGGGGCCAGCACTCCTTTCAAGGTTTCTTGGCAACTGAAATGTATGCACATACCTAAAGAAAAGACGTTTTTATGGCACTTGAAAAACATACATCAAAACTGTAACATGGGTAGGCCCGTAAGTGAACACCACGGGGATTTTTTTCCCTTTTAATTAGAAGAATGAACTCAAACTGAAAAACCTGAGGATTAAACACATTCACTTTACAGAGAAACTGCTGAAATACAAAGTTCTACACATGTGAAAGAATGTAAGGTTGCAATCTTCTCACCTTTACTGTCCTCTCCTGCATCCCACTGGGGTGAAGCAAGGAGCATCTGTGTGGTGCTTAGTTGCTGTCTGGGTTAAAACACAATTCCATATACTCAGATAAGATTGGCACAGTGGAAGGGGAACACCCCAAATGCTGGGGCGTGGATTTGGAGAGAAGATAAGGTTCAGAGGAATAAGAAGGAAAGAGATACCAAACATCACAAAGAGATGGTAATCTTTTTGTTAAGGGTCATGTTCCCTCATTCTCTAAACAGCTTCACATTATGGTTCCATCTTGGAAGTTTTTAAAATATGGACAAGAAAAAGCCAATGCTAATAGCCAAGTGCTTTCAAGTTTCACAATGCAAGTGGGATCCAAAGGGAAGGAATCAAGAACACTATTAATATTTTCTGTGTGTGCCTGCCCCTCAACAAAGGACCTGGGAGACAAGGGTGTGCCACTAGCTGTGTGTGTGCACATCGGGGTCTCTCTATAGGGCAAGGTCAGTGGGTACAGGGGTGCTGAACCCAGGAAGCAGAGTAGCCCCAGACAGCCAAGACCAGACAGCGCATACCCAGCCTGGAGCAGGGCTGTGGCCTGCAGGCTCTAGTGTCCAGAAGCCAGCAACTGGGAGGACTGGGACCCAGGAACCAGCTGCTGGGCAGACTGCATGTATAAGCCAGGCTGCTGGAGGGAATCTACGATGTACATACACATGCACATATATGTGTGTGTATACATAGATATGCACACATACCCTCCCTAGCAGACCTCCATCCTGCTCAGCTAGGGAAGGAAGGAGGATAAGGATGTTGTTGCTATCTGTGAGTAGCCATGTACCTGGCTGATCTGTGTGGCGAGATACATACACATGTATGTATCATGTACACATCTGCTCTATGTGCTTGTGCCCACTGGGTATACCTTTTTAGCCTTAGTAACAGTTACACCTGGGGGAACAGAACTGTAGCAGCTTCAAGCTCTCGGATCCAGCACAGTATTTTTCCCCTTAACAAGTTCAAACAGAAATAATTACACCAATTAAAAAACTAAGCCACATTGTCCAAGATTGATCAAGAACAATCATTTTCTACCTGTGGCATATATGTATAAGGTATACCGGTCATCAAGTTTTAGGGCCACAGGATACACTGATATATTGTGTATTAAGCAATGTATTTCTGAACAGACAATATAGAAATGTCTTTTTCTTCAGCAAGGGGGACATATACACAACAAAGAGCAGCTGCACAGAACTGAACAGCAGACAGTGTCACGTTCATGGCCCACAGGCCACATGTTCCAATACAATAAGAGAAGCAACACCAGAGACTGTTGACATTGCCACAGATTTTGCTAGCATTTTACCCAATGCAGGTATAAATCCTTGCCTGCAGCAAAAGCAGAATCTCTAGTTTATCAAGAGAACAGATTCACCAGACAAAGTCACAGCAGTACCACAGATTTCCACCACCTTAAGCTGGTTCTCAGCAGCTTACAGCTAACAAGAAACAGGAATACTGCAACAAAGAACTACATCCCATTTAGATCAGTACATACACCAGTTTTAAGGCCCTGTTTGTGCTAAACACCAATTGGCAGCATAGAATTAACTGGTTTGCACCAAGTGAATACTGTCATTCATGATCAGAGTGAGTTACCTTTTACTAATTAGTAATTGATGGCTGCATTTGAAATGCTAAAGTTCACTGCCAGGAAGTACCCTCTTTCCCAAAATGCTTCTTTCAAACACATTCCCTGCTCTGCAGCACTTTGTAAGAATGAACTAGGCTTCACAAACTGTGCTTCGGTACCCAGTACATCACATCCCTTCTCTCAGTAATGCCTACAGGCATAAAGCTCCTGTTCAAGCCTACACACTGCAAGTAACACAGAGCAAAAGATTCCGTAACAGATCACTAGCTGGGAGGTCACAACACTCAAGCTTTGCTAAAGATCTGCAAGTGGGAGAGCAACATATGTTGCAGAGATAGTTAAGCGGAACATAACAGTTGCCAACCTGTGGGAAACATAAACGCAACGCCGATTACATTTTTTGTTAGCAATCCCCTTCTGAGTTGGAATACACTGATCTCACTACACAAGTAGATACACGACAGGACAATTCTGTCACACAGTATACTCTGAAAGGCATTACTACTGGAGGAGTACTGGAGCATAAGGGAAGCTTTCAGCTCCGGAATTCCCTAGCTAAAAACAAGCTCCAGCTGAAACCAGATCCTCTAGGTGGAAACAACAGCTATCAAAACCAACTGTGCCCATGCAGTACATCCCCAGCAGCAGGCAGTCAGCACAGCCTTGTCTACAAGTTTATTCCTAACCATGACCAGGCAGCTCTGATCATCATACAAAGTCCCAAGTTTTGGCCATTAAAATAAGAAAAGGAGTTTAAAGACCTGAAAATGTACTGATATTCTAATTAGAAGTGTTGTGCAATGTGCACACTAAAAGGGTTAAAATACTGTCATGGTTTAAGGACAAATACAAACCCGTACTTTCTTTAGCCAATGTTTTGCCACTTTGGAGAATGATTAACATAGTAGCACCCCACAAGAAAGGCTGTTTATTCTGACGCTTCAGGTTGGATTAAACTGCCAACAGAAAGGCATCTAATCCCATTTTCTAGTCCGTAACTGGCCCCAGAAAGAGTACTGTCCTCCCAGAGCTGAATGTCTGCTCTACACAGATGTGCCGAATAACTTGCAGCATCTGTAACTCCAGACTCATTAGGCAACAGAATCCCAGCCCAAATCTACTTTAAAAAAAAAAACAAAACACAAAACCAAGGTCTTCATCATTTTATTTATGATAGTTTAAGTTCTTCTTTTAGCTGTAGTAAGGAAGTACAATGCAGTGTCAACAAGATTTAAGATGTAACTGGTAGCAGAATCTAGCTAAAAGGTGTGAGATAAAAAAAAAATATTGCAAGAAATGGACTGTTGCAGATGGGGAAGAGAGCAAGAGATCTGCTTTT